TCTCTACGTGTTGAGGATGTTACGCAGGTGGATCAGGACATGGTTAGATCTTGGGCTATGAAGTTTTCCCAGGCGGGGTTAGTGGTCATTGGAGCGGGACCGCCCTGCCAGGGGGTTAGTGGACTCAATGCGGGGCGAAAGGGAGCTCTCAGAGATGCGCGGAGTTGCCTATTTGTTCATGTGTCTAGGATCCGTGACCTGGTCAAGCGGGCTTTTCCATGGGCGCAAGTACGCACTCTGATGGAGTCTGTGGCCTCAATGGATCAGGAGGATCAAGACATTATGTCAAAGGACTTTGGTGACCAGCCGTGGTTCGTGGATGCTCAAGGGGTCTCCTTGGCCCGGCGTCCTAGATTGTACTGGATTGATTGGGAACTTTTGCAGTCACAGGGGGCGTCTTTGGTGGTCTCTGAAGATGGTCGTCGTTCTGTAGAACTGAAAGCCTCCCTTGTCGCTTCCGATTTCCTGCTGCCTGGTTGGTCCAAGTTTTCCCCTGATCCCCTGGCTACTTTTACTACGGCCCGTCCTCGGAGCAGTCCTGGTTATAAACCCGCCGGCCTTCAGCAATGCACCAAAGATGAACGAACTAGGTGGGTCGAAGATAAATTTCGCTTCCCTCCTTATCAATACCGTTCTGCATTTTGCCTCGTCAACAAGCAGGGCCTTCTTCGAGTTCCGAGCATTGAAGAGCGGGAGGTCATCATGGGCTTCCCACGGAACTATACCATGATGTGCATGGGAAAACAACACCAAGGAAGTGAGGCCCATACGGACTGTAGGCTAAGCCTGATCGGTAATTCATGGAACGTGACGGTCATTGCTTGGTTGCTTGCGCAACTGGGGTTGGTTCTGGGATTAAACCCATCTCTCTCCACCCAAGAAATTTTTAACCGAACTTCTCCAGGATGCACTTCAGATTTTCAAACTTTCCTTCAAAGACCTCTCATGAAGGTGGGGAAGAAGGTGTCCGTGTCCCGAAATGAAGGGCTTTTGGTCTCCAAGCTGCTTACTTTGGTTAGCATTAAAGGTGAAGATTTGATGTTGCAATCTTCATCAGAAGATCAGGTCAAGTATCACAGGCTACGAGCTAGCGTTCCGGCCAAACTCTGGGTTTGGAAAACCATCACAGGATGGAAATGGCGGGATGTGTCTGAACACATAAACGTATTGGAGATGCGTGCCGTGCTTACCGCAATGCGGTGGAGGATTGAAAAGCAAGGTACCTTAAATTCCAAGTTTGTTCATTTGATTGATTCTCTTGTTTGTCTGCACTCTCTTAGCAGAGGCAGATCCAGCAGCCTCAAATTGAAACGGTCCCTCCTTCGCATCAACTCGTTGCTTCTTGCTACCAATTGTCATGTGGTGTGGGCGTACGTCCACACGAAGGACAATCCGGCAGACGCCCCAAGCCGGCGTCCCCGGAAACGCAAGTGGAGCCATGCCGAAAAGGCATCTTGAAGGCGCCACGCAAGAAGCAAGAGTACAGATGCGAAAAAAATTAGGACCTTTGCGATCGTTGACGGTTCAACCTGTTACCAAGCAACGGGTATAAGGCTGCTTTGGATGATTTCTTCGAATATTTGAGGTCAGAGAATCTGATTCTGCCCCACACTGCCGCTAAGTTAGATTCTGTAGTGGCTGACTACCTGGAGTTTTTATGGGCGTCGGGGGCTGGGCGCAGTACCGCGTCAAATATCTTGGCTGGTCTTCAAGATGCCCACCCTCATATGAAGGGAAAGCTGCCAGAAAGTTGGCGCTTGCTGAAAGCTTGGGTGACACATGAGGTCCCAAACAGGGCTCCTCCACTTCCTTTGGATATGCTTGAGGCGATGGTAGGATATGCCCTTTTTAAAGAATGGCATTCCTTTGCCCTTACCCTTTTGTTGGGCTTCTTTGGTCTCCTGCGTACTGGAGAGATTTTATCTCTTACTGGAGCTCATGTGTCGGTTAAAAACCCACGTGGCCCAGCAGTGATTTCACTTGGGTTAACCAAGGCGGGCAAGCGGCACGGCGCTGCAGAGAGCGTTACAATTCATGTGGAGGATGTCTGCCGCCGCCTCTTTCAATGGACCCAAGGAAAATCTAAATCCCTCAGTTTAGCAGGACCCGCCCACAAATGGCGGAAGCAATTCGCTGATTCTTTGAAAGCTCTCTCTTTTCACCAGTGGGATTTTCGACCGTATTCCCTACGGCGGGGGGGCGCAACCCATGCTTTTACCCAGCATGGGGCCTTTGACCGGTTGCTGGTCGCCGGCCGTTGGCAGTCTCAGAAGACGGCACGAATTTATGTTAACCAAGGCATGGCCGTCCTTGCCGAATTGAAAGTACGTTGGAGTCCATTTGCAACCACTTTACGTCAGCAGTATCTCCGTAGTCTCACTGTACCCTTGCCTGCACTTGAGCCAGTGTCGCAGAGCTCACAGGGCAGGGGACGTTGGAAACAGCAGAAAAGACACCAAAAAGTTATGCGCACAAGGGTGCGATCAAAGGGTCAGACCCTTTCTGCTCTTGGGCATGGCCGGACAGAAAGGAAAAAACCCTTAAACGCCTTGGCTAGGGGTGTTTCTCGGGCTTGGCCGGGGCCCTCTAGGGGCGTTTTGGGATAAGGTTTCCCGGTGGTGTGTTTTGGGGTGGTTTTTTCCCGTTCTATTTTGTATTTAAATTGACAAACCAGACCTTGCTGAGCAAAAGAGGGCGGAAACCAGGTGAGTCTTTGGTTGTACGCCCCCGTGCTTAAAGACGAACACGGTGATTGCCCGACTCATCCGCAGTTTCGGCTTCAAGGCCCCCCCTTTTTTTGCTCCCACCCAGAAAAGACACCAAAAAGTTATGCGCACAAGGGTGCGATCAAAGGGTCAGACCCTTTCTGCTCTTGGGCATGGCCGGACAGAAAGGAAAAAACCCTTAAACGCCTTGGCTAGGGGTGTTTCTCGGGCTTGGCCGGGGCCCTCTAGGGGCGTTTTGGGATAAGGTTTCCCGGTGGTGTGTTTTGGGGTGTTTTTTTCCCGTTCTATTTTGTATTTAAATTGACAAACCAGACCTTGCTGAGCAAAAGAGGGCGGAAACCAGGTGAGTCTTTATATATATACGAATATATAATAGTTGTCTAACTTAACTTAACTAAATCCAACTAGCAATATATATATATATACATACTAAAATAAAGGTAACGCCGCCCGTAAAGACGCGGGCTCTTTTTAACTCTTCCTTCTCGGATGTGCTCCAAGACATGTGGCACAGCTGTCCAAAGGTCTTTGCCATTGTTGTTCACGTACACATACATATAAACATACACGTACACATACATATAAACATACACATACACATACATATAAACATACATGTAAACATACATATTAAATGTGCATATATATATATACTAATACATATGCATACACAAACATACATCTATACATCCATACATCTATGTATAATATATATATATAAATATATGTATTATATGTGAGCAGTGTTCAAAATCCCTCTGTCATTCCATTCCACTGGTTGGTGTGCGGAAAGCGTACAAGTTAAAACGAACGTTAACATCACCCCACCCACCCCCATACCCAACCCAAGCAACGTGATCGACATAGTGTGCAAAAAGCGTGCAAGTTAATACGAACGTTAACATCACCCCACCCATCCCCATACCCAACCCAAGCAACGTGATCGACATAGTGTGCAGAAAGCGTGCAAGTTAACACGAACGTTAACATCACCCCACCCATCCCCATACCCAACCCAAGCAACGTGATCGACATAGTGTGCAGAAAGCGTGCAAGTTAACACGAACGTTAACATCACCCCACCCATCCCCATACCCAACCCAAGCAACGTGATCGACATAGTGTGCAGAAAGCGTGCAAGTTAACACGAACGTTAACATCACCCCACCCATCCCCATACCCAACCCAAGCAACGTGATCGACATAGTGTGCAGAAAGCCTGCAAGTTAACACGAACGTTAACATCACCCCACCCATCCCCATACCCACAAGAAACATCGGAAGACAAAAAAAACGTTAAAAGTCGCCGCGTCTCTACGGGCGGCGTTAGCTAAAACAACGGTGATTACTATCATTATCCAGGTTGGTTTAGATCACCATTAGATCACCATTAATATTTGATGTCTAGATGTTCAGACCTCATTCCCTCCAGTATCAATCTTCAAAATCACCATTGTACTATACAAAACATCCCCATCATACTATAAAGGCCATTCGTAATTCATACGTTAGTCGCCATGTCAAAAAGATCACCAGACATGTATTAGATATCGCCACGGTTGATTGCCGGAGGGGAGTAGTGTCCATTGATGTTCCATGATCCAAATGAACATCCCAGTAATATATATATACATATTTATAATAGTATATATATATATAAATATTATATCCCATTGTCATCCATAAATTATAAATCATTATAAATCATTAATTATAAATCATCATTATGTGGCTTGAATCCATCAATGAACTAGCTGATTATCTTCATCCCAATTGATATATGGCTATGATCATATCCCATTATCTTCATAATCTATGAACATCATCTCACCAAAAATCTCATCATATCCCAATTTACTCTCTGGTAAATTAACAGTTGGACCCTGAAAATCATCAATTTCTAGTGGTTTCACTCATCTTCCAACCTACAGTATCTGCCAGGGTCGAACGGTTAATTTACCAGAGAGGGTATATATCATAATTTACCCAGATATATCATTATAAACCCTTTGAAATATCCATTATTATTCCATATCCCTAATAATAATGATATATCCATATATAATATCCATATCCCTAATATATTCCAGATATATCATTATATATTATAAAAGCCATATCCCTAATGATGGGTACCCTCTGGTAATTTAACATAGCTATTGAACATGACCATTTATAGTGGATTTTCCCATTGAACATGATGATTTTCCATAGCTATGTTAGTTTACCAGAGGGTAAGTGGGATGATCCTCCAGGGCGTCTCCAACACTTCAGGACATCGTGGCCGGGCCGCTGTCCTTCGATGCCCTTCACCTCAAAGGCGCCGCAGGGGGGCCCGGCGAAGCCGCATGGCCGCAGCGCTAACTGGGAGAACTGGGATAGTAATGGGATACCCTCTGGTAAACTAACATAGCTATTGAAAATGGCCATAGAAATAGTGGATTTTCCCATTAAAAATGGTGATTTTCCATAGTTATGTTAGTTTACCAGAGGGTATCAATAATGGGACAGTGATGAATTATGATTGTCATCACGGGAGAAGAGTGGTTTATGATGGGATATTACTGGGATATTAATGGGAGATTAACGATGTATATATCTATAGTTAATGGTCATCGAAGGAAGGTTTGAAGTCAAACTTCCGACTTATGGACAGATGCAGCAACAGTGGTGGGAAGAGCCGGAAAAAAGGGAGTCAGCAGAAAGAAGATCAAGGTGCGCGAAAAAGTAGAAAAGTCGCGAAGCACTTTGTTTTTCCAATGTTTTGTGGCTCCAGAGGGCCGAAAAGTAGGCTCGCTAAAGCAGGGGGTGCGGAGCCATCAGGGGAAATCAGAGACAAAAAATGCACGCCGCTGTGGTGCGAAGCAAATTTAGAAAAACGTGCAAAACACACCATGTTCGGAGCAGTTTTGGAAGATGGCTGCTGTTGCGCGAAGAACATTTCGAAGTCAAAATGGTTAAAGCACTTAGTGTCGGAGCAGTTAAGATGTCGAAAAGTGCGCGCTGCTGTGGCGCGAAGAACACGTCGAAGTCAAAAAGCTAAAAGCAGATCGGGTTTGGAACATTTTGGAAGTTGAGATGTCAAAAAAGTGCATTCCATTGTGGTGCTAAGCGCATGTCTAAGTGAACATGCCAAACGCGCCACATGTTCGCCCCTTATGTGGCAGGCGCAATGGATTCTGCATCTTGCCAAAAGTGAACAAAATGTGAGGGTTTTGCAGCAGTTGCAAAAAACGATGGCAGGCGTGGGGCTTTTGAAGAGGATCTGGAAAGAGACATTTTGCATGGCAGGCACAGTGCAAGAGACATGTCAATGTTCATCAGAGATGTTCGAAGGTCGTGACAGGTGCAGCATTTCGCATGACCTGCCTTCACTTTTTCGTGATGGGCACAATACTTTAGACAGATGGGGCGGAAAAATCGCAAAATGCACTGGTACGAGGCCGTCAGCTCTGCACTCAACTTTCCATTTTGGAAAGAAGTCTCGCAAAATTTTGTCTTTTGCAGGTGTCAACTCCCATGTTTTTAGGACGTCTTGCAGAATTACTGCGTTTTGGACCTGTCAAATTCCACTTCAAAGACAGACACACACACACAGATAGATAGTTAGAGAGATATTTAGATAGGTAGTGAAAGAGAGAGAGAGATAGATAGAAAGATAGACAGAGAGAGAGAGAGAGAGACAGAGACAGAGACAGAGAGACAGAGAGACAGACAGATAGACGGACAGATAGACATACAGATAGATAGCCAGATAGTCAGATAGGCAGATCGGCAGATAGTGAGATAGATGGATAATAGATAGATGCATAGAAAGACGCATAGACAGAAAGATGGATAGTCAGAAAGATAGATAGACAGATAGACAGATAGATAGACAAAAAAGATAGATGTATAGATAGATGGATGGAAAGAAAGATAGATAAACAGATAGATAGACAGACAGACAGACAGATAAAAGAAATAGATGGATGGATGGATGGATGGATGGATGGAGGGGTAGATCGATCGATAGATAGATAGATAGATAGATAGGTAGATAGATAGATAGATAGACAGATACACGGATAGATGGATAGATGGATAGAGAGATAGGAAGGTAGAGAGACAGATAGACAGATAGACAGATAGATAGACAGATGGACAGATAGATAGATAGACAGACAGAGAGGTGGTCAGATAGATAGATAGATAGATAGATAGACAGACAGACAGACAGATAGATAGATAGATAGACAGACAGATAGATAGATAGATAGATAGATAGAGAGACAGATAGACAGATAGACAGATAGGCAGATAGATAGATAAATAGATAGATAGATAGACGAATAGATGGGGAGAGAGAGAGAGAGAGAGACACACGCACACACAAAGAAGGAGACAGAGAAACATAGAGAGAGACTCAGAGCCTCAGCCACCTTTCGGTCCATCAGTTCGCGTTGCCATCCATGAATCGCAACAACTCACCTCATCTATAGGTTTCCTATCTTCGAAACTTCCGCCGCGGCCTTGTGCGGCACTACTGGTACAATATTGGATAATAATGGATAATAATGATTTAAAGTGATATTACAATAAGACATTAATGGGATATTAATGGGATACCAATAATCAAACGTGGCAATGGAACCCCCCGTTTAGATGATTTTACCATTGAATACCATTGAAACCCATTTATTAGGGATTTACCATTGCCATGTTTGATTACCGGAGGATACTTGGAATCATGGATTTACGATGGTTAACTGGTAATTTCACTAAGATATAATGGGATATAATAGGAATAATTTGGATGGATTGCATTTCAATTTCACGTCGCGACGTCACTGGAATGGCCAGGGTTGGGGTAACTATCCCCACATGAACGCAATTTTCGGGGTTTGTCCACGTTGATTGCTTGGGGATTTTCCAAGAATTATCAGTTTGGTTAATCAGTCATCGTTCTTTAAGAACCCCCGTTATGATTTTACCAAACAACATGAACCATTAACCAACCATTAACCAACCAACCGGGGATGCTTTGATAATGAAAACTTGGGGATGGTACCAACAATTTAGATACCAAACATTATCACTTGGCGGATTCTCCAACAATAATTCCAACACTGTGCTTTGGATTTTACAAAAGGAATTGCCACATTTTCCCAAATTAGTCAATTTGCTGCAGATTCCCAAAAAGTACAACCATTCCCATACCAAAAGAAATTTAAAAAAAAATGAACCATACCCTCAATGTGAAAAACAAAAAACCATAGCACGCTATTGTTTGGGGTTTCATAAATGTGTATACCACAAATTTTGGTGAAACAGGAAATGGTTTGTGGGAGACTTTACAGGACATTTCCATTCCAATTTAACCATCAAACGGGGTTTCCGGTACATTTTTCCTGAGAGCGAACCCTTTTTTTAGACGTCTGTTTTCATGATTGGAATTTTTCGCCTCAAAATCTCTGGTGTAAAACACATTGTCGGTGGGGAACCGTGGCATTTTATCATCTTCATGACCTGGCTTCGCAAATTTCCATCCGTTGCGTTTTCCCCCCTTCGGCCATATTTGGTATGATTATATAACGATTTGCTGAAGAGATGTTTCGGGCAGATTGAAACCACATTTCATGCTGCAAGCACAAACACCATTAAACAAACACGTCTTGTGAATCAGCGATTTCAAATGCACGCACCAAGCAACTCCTTCACCCCCTTGAGTTGTGCGGACCGCAGTTAATCCAAGGACTGCTGAATGCCTCAAGGAGTTCCGCCAAAAACAATTCCCAAATGGTTTGCAGAACATGTTCAAAGAGAACAATACGTTCCCGGAGAAAATCAACTTGTTAGACGGGTTGTCAAGTCTTGGAGCAAGGAAAATCAGTGAATATCAATAATGTCAATGAAAAATAATGAAGATAATCGAAATAAACACCAAACTCAAGTTGCTGTGGCTGTGACATTCTAAACTTGTCATTCTTGTCGAGCGTATTCGGGCAGGACAAAACACACCAACAAATTATCACTTTACTGGTCACTGGTACACTGGTATCATGTCCCATTCATCCCATTAATCACCCATTAATATCCCAATCATATGTCACCACCATTAATATCTCATTAATTAATCACCATCATTAATATCCCATTAATCACCATAAATCACCATTAATCACCATTGATCACCATTAATCACCATTAATCACCATTAATCACCATTCATATGCTTATGATTATTCCAATAATATCCCAATTATCTCTGGATGCTCCTCTCGTCTCGAGGAGCAACCTGGAGGTTCCTGTGGATCACCCGATGGCACTTTTAACTGCGCCTTGGATTGGATCTTTAAGGGTGGCCCAAGGCACTGCCTCGGGGCTAAGGGGCCAGTTTCATCAACCGAACAACTTGGACTTTGACTTGGGGAAAATGATGAAAATATGATGAAAATGCCATACAAATGAAGCTTTGCCACACAATGTCACTGCGGATTTCTGGATGTTTGAGAGGTTTTTTCGGAGCCATTGAGGTCATGACAGAAAACCCCAGGGTTCATCCCTGTTGGATTATCTGATTTGCCAAGCTGATTTCACACAGAGAAACATCTAATATGGCCCCATATCATCTAATATGTTTATCTATTATATATATATGACAATATTTTGTATGCATGCTGCATTGCTTGTATATATAGATACATGAAGAAAGATAGCTGCATGAAAATATCTACCCATCTATTTATATATTGTATCTATGTTATATCTATATTAGTGGTATAAAACCACAACTGGATCGAGGTATTTGGCATGTCGAGGAAGCTGGTTTCATCATGCTGGACGATCTGGTGGGAACGGTGACTTGCTTCCCTCGGTGCGGGAGGCGTCTCTGATGTCGGATTTCATGGTGAATTTCAAGGTGAAAAGTGGGGAAACCATAGGAATACCATGTTTTTTTTTCACGGGCCATATCGGAATATGGGAAGATCCATGGGATTGTAACATATCTTCCATGAAAGTTGTGAGGATTTCACCATCAATGGTGGGTTCCGGGGGTCAAATCATGTGGATTTCAGGGATCAAATCCCATCAAAAATCATGGGGATATTTCATAGGGATACCAGAGATTCATCAACGGCACCAGCTTGGTGGAGTATACCTCAAGATTGCCAATTTCAGATGATTTGACCACCATGGATCATAATTGATTTAATTGACCAATGGTGGCATACAAAAACCACATTTTAGGATTAAAATACCTTTCAATTTAGTCCTAACCAGAATTTAGTCCTGGTGGCATATTAACCATAAATTAAATCCTAATCAAATGGTGGCATACTAACCATATTAACCGAATTTACTGTCCTGAATTTGACTTTTGGAATACCTTTCAGAAACTGCGGCTTCGCAATGCTTCGCATCTGGAATCCAGCTGCTGCTGAGGACATTGCCAAACTCTATTTGTCGGGCGGCTGGCAATATGAGAAGAGCTCAGATACCGGAGAGGGCACCAGCTTCTGGAGTGGCAAGAAGGAGACAAATCGGCTATGGATCAATACCTATAGATACATTACTATAGTGGGATGAACATCCATTTACCAGCTATTTTGATGTTCACCAGGGGTACCAGGGTTTTGACCCACTGCCAAATCGGGTGGCCGAAGTCTCCAATATCGCTCCTTCATGGGATGTCTCTGGAACAAACTTCTTCAATTCAGCGGTAATATCAGTCATTCGTAGATGACTTGGGAATTTTTGAATCCAAATCTGTCCAAACTGAAGGACAAAGCTCGGTGCAAAGCGCGAGAAGAGAAACTTTTGCCACTGGGATTTTAGGCTTCCAGGGTCACCCAATTGTAGTCATTGTATAGCAATCTTATTATATGAGCTCTATGTATATACATATATACATAATGCGATATGTCTATACATATATAAATAATTGTATACATATTTATATACATAAAAGACATACTATGTACTCTATATTTGTAGGATCTTATACGTATACAAACAAGTGTATTTTCCTGTATATGGACTCAGTTTCAATCCCCATGCTCATGGGGTCAACCTCTTCCAACATGTCCAAGTGAAAGCAAGGGTCAAAGGATGATGTTGTGCAGTGAGAAATATCAAGAAACTTATTCCGAGTAGTTTTTTTCTGTTTTTTTCCTTCCTCTGTCGATTTGGGACCTCTTATTGTCGAACGCTGGGCTTCTGGCTCAAGCCATGCCGATGGTCATGAAGCAAACGTGTTGGGTGAAAGAGTTTTGCCTAATTTGTCCCTATTTTTCCCTTCAAATTGAGAATGCAATTGGGTCCCTGATTCAAATTGGACGTTTCCGGTTTTTCTTCGCCGAATCTTTGAATCCCAGGAATCTCTTCGCTGAAAAATACCGAGACCAACCTGCAGTCCTGACAGATCCATATTGCGACTACTGGCGATAGAAAAGACCTGCAGCGAATGTGGCATACCCCGACACCATCCGACACCCCGACAACTGGGTATGGTTTCCAAGAATCCCAAAATGGTAGAACTACCTGTGGGTGGTTTGGTTGACTATTAAGTTTACCATGGCAGTTCAACAAGTTCAAATAGAATGTTGGAAATGTTGGAAAGCAGCCCCCAAGAAGGAGTGTGGTGGAAGATCCTCGGATGTGCTCCTTCACGACGACGAACATATTTCACATTCGTTTTTTACTTTTGTTTCTGCCTTGCAAAGATAGAAACATATATGCACCATCCGAAATGGTAGGGAAACCCATGTCCATATCGTATTTTGGTACCCCCAAATCATCCATTTTAGATTGGGATTTTCCATGAAATAAACCATCCAGCTATTGGGATACCCCCATGGCTATGGAAACCCCAAAAATGTGTGTTAGTTAGGAACTAACCAAGAAAACAGGGGATTCTCCAATGTTTTTTCTGCCAGGTGTTGATGACCCTGACAAAGGGAGAGAAGGGCATCAGCGGTCGCATGCGTATCGCAGCCTTCCTACAATCTGTGGACGCCGGTTACTTCGAGGCAGTGCATATGGTCCCAATGGTATGGTTAATGATGGTCCATTGAACTGGTTAATAATGGTTGATAATGGTCAATCATGGACCATTAATAATGTTTGATGGTTAAACAATTGTTGATATAATGGCATTATAATGGTTATCAATGGTTAATGATGCTTGATGGGTAAATAATGGTTAATATGATGGTTAAGAATGGTTAATGATGGTTACATTTGGTAAACCCAATCCTCGACCATCCCCAAGTCATCACATGTCATCACCATATTTTAATGGGTGGGATTGAAACCATGCCCAGTTATGGTAGGTTCATGGCATTGGGTTGCCCACATTGCATATCATATATGTATATTTCAAGTAAATGATTGTTGGTATATGGGGTATCCACCTAGCCACAAGTCCAATAGTCATGAGGATCAGTGATAAATCTCTAGGCCGATCTAGGCCGATGTGCCGCATCGAGTTCTTTTCTCAAAACCTGGCACATCTTGGCATCAGTTTTTCCATGTTTTTCCATGGTTTTTCCTGTTCAAAAACGATGCCAAAGCCGTTTTTCTATGTCTTCCCTGCAGCGACAGGCAAATGGCAACGCAGTAGCAATCTATGATTATGATCTTCAACTGACGAGCAAAAGTCCAAACGCGACTTGAAAAAATCATCGAAAAAGCGCGTCGCGGCGCGCAGAAGGTTCAATGATCTGATGGACAAAAATCACCATTGTTGAAGCCGATGTTAAGATGGAAGCATCATTAACCGATAACCATTATAATGCCATTATATCAACAATTGTTTAACCATCAACCATGATTAACCATTGGGAATATATACACCATCTTACCACATTAAATCGCGGATTTGAGGTGCCAGATCTACGCGATGACTTGCAGAGAGTTGCAGCACCTGCAGAAGTTTGTGTCTGGGAGGCCGAAAAAAAAACACGGCGGAATCTCCGGGGTGATGGGCCTGGGATGATAAGCGGATCTTCATCCCCCCAAATATATGGAATATATGGTGTATTTATATGGTGGGAGATGGGGGAAAAAACCATGGTTAATGGTGGATTTGATGGGAATTTTAATGTTTTTTTTTTTGATGGCTGGTGGTGACTGGAACCATGGAATTTTATATGTTCCCCAATAGTTGGGATGATGATCCAATCTGACGAACTCATATTTTTCAGGGGGGTTGAAACCACCAACCAGTAATGTATTGCATAGGTTTGAAGATGTTGTTGAACTGTTTGACTCATTGATTTTTAAGCCGTTCCCACTTAGTTTGCTTGCCAAACTTCACAGTTGGAAAACCCCTTCATCTTGCCACCTAAGTGTCTCCCTGAAAATGTTCGGACTGTGGTCAGGTTGCTTCAAGCGATGGTGAATTGACCAAGGTGCTGGTTACACCCCGCGGGGATGGAAAGAAACGAGATGAGTCTGGGTGGAAAATGTTGCTGTCAAACAGATTCCCGATTGAAGTCTCAACCAGACTTGAAATGAATATTAATGAAATATCTGAAATGAGCTTGCCATCTGAAGTTACCGCCTTTCAACATGAAAAGATGGCATCCCCCATGGCCGTGTCTCCCTTCAGACGGAGAAGATCAAAGCGGAGGTGGAGTCAGGTGGGCAGTGAGGAATGGGTTGAAGACATGTTGAAACCATGGAGTCAATGGAGTCAACTGCCCTCTGGTAAACTAACATAGCTATGGAAAGATCCACCATTTTTATTGGGAAAACTCACTATAAATGGTCATTTTCAATAGCTATGTTAAATTACCAGAGGGTAAACTTTCGATGTGCCGAAGCTTTCAATGTTCACCACCGTTTTAAGTTGAACGGGTTGAAGGTCCTCATTCGTATCGTTTTTTTCAACACCAGAAACTTCTCTTTCCATCTTGACCCCATTTCGCCATTTCGCCGCCGACAAATGTACCCAATCAACCCGATGTTGCTCGTTTTTGAGATCTCAAACAATCCAATGTTGGGTACCAAGTGACTGGACTCATGCCCATAGAAACTAACTACATATATATATATATATATTGGCATGTGAGTATATATAATATTAACATGGATATGTAATTTAATATATCTATATACACTATATATATATAATAATGTGGCAATTGGCACTTCCAATTTCAAAGCAGAAGATCATCTATAGGGGATAGACTCGGATAGCCATCAAACACCTGTCATTTCTGGGTAAAAAACATCATGTTTTGGTGGTTAAACCCCCATCATATAGCAACCCCTGAAAAGATCAAGAAAAACCAAGCATCAAACTAGCCTGGTGCCAAACTACACGGTGATTCAATCCAACCCCCGAGAAAAAGGCGACCCACCCAAAGAATGGATAGGATAATAAGCCATTATCGTAGTTGCTGCTGGTGAATAAGCCCTTAATATGCCCTTATACAAAAAAGCCCTGGCCCTTCATAAGCCCTAACCCCTGCAATACATAATCCCTTAATAAACCCAAAGTGTTGCAGCTTTTTGAATGATTTTGGTGGCTAAAAAAGTACCCACCAGCTGGCTGATTTTGGGGGCCCTCCTGCAGGTCAACTGGCCGAGCTAAAGTGGAATAGCAGTGGCAGTGCCTTGTTGGTACACTGCACTACCGAGGTGGGGATTGACCATGCCGAAGTCATTTTGTGATTTTCGTGGGGAATTTCCATAGGAAGATCATTTGTCAAAATATATGATGGCTATGAAAAGTGAGGCTTGACCCATCAAGAATGGCCAGAATGGTGATGATCATGGTGAACAGGTATGGAAAACCAGATGTTTTTTTCACCCTGAAAAATCACCATTCCATTGGATAAATCCCCAGATGTTTAATCCCCATAATTCACCAGATGGATTACCCTCTTGTAAACTAACATAGCTATTGAAAATCACCATTTATAGTGGATTTTCCCATTAAAAATGGTGATTTTCCATAGTTATGTTAGTTTACCAGAGGGTAACCTTTAAAACATGGGGATTTCTCCAATGGAAAGGGCTGGGGCTGGGACGAGTTTTTTTTCGGCAGATCCACGGCAACATTCTGAAGAGAAACGACGTCTCGGCGCGTTTTCGGAAAATCGCCCGAAGAATGGTGGGTGAATGGGTAAGCCCTACAAAATCAATCCACATATATATATATACACATTATGTATATATATATGATTATGTATATAATTATATATATATATAATATCATATATAGGTTAGTCATATATATATTATATAATATAAAGGGCATTAAGAGCCCCCTGAACTAATCGTCAACCAATGGAGATTCTGATCCCAACGGGCTGATGTTTTCGTGGCCTCTCGACATATGCGACCGGTAATAACCCTCAGTTTAATTGATGGTTTCATTTGATTTCATCATCTTTATTTTATATATATGTATATCTATATTTTGGCATGGCATATATTTTTCTTACATATTTTGATTTCAGAAGTGTTATTTAAGCTATTATCTCATATATATATATATATTATACATTATAAACCATACATGTGATATTATCAATATTCACAGCTTACGATATTCCATTTATGTATGGTTTATAATAGTATAAGTTCTATAAGCCAGACCAGTCCAGCAGCAGCCAGCATCTCGTGTAGGTGGATGACTCGGGGAAGAGTTACTACGGCGTCTCCAAGCTGTGCTGCCGGCCATGGCTTAACGGCTCTGTCAGAAACGGGTGTCGTCGCGTCATGGGCAAAAAACCATGGAAAAACCATGGAAAATCCATGGAGAAAACCATGGAAATCTGGTTGGTGACTGGAACATGGCTTTTAGATGATTTTCCATTTCATAAAAAAGGGATGTCATCCGAAAGCCATTGACGAAGTCCATGATTTTTCAGAGGGGTTGAAACAGAAACCACCAACCAGAAATGGGGAGAACACATCTAGAAATGGGATGATTTACTGGATCGACTGGCAGTCGGACCGAGATCATTGGTGCAACGTAAATTGCAAGCAACTGATCCCAAGTGGGCTGACAAATGACGCATTTGTGTGATATATGATCCTAACTGGCAAATGATAGACATATCGAGAATAATTACAGTGACAAGTTACATCAATCGATTTCTCCCTGCTTTTGTTTTGAACCACTTAGCATCACTTAGCCCACAATTCATTCGACAATGAAAACAGCTGGTTGTGTGCCCAGGATAGGAGACAATTTATAACTGTGCAACTGTGCAACAGGTTGCTGGCTTGCGCTGATGGCAAATTTCAGAAGGAGAGCGGTTGCGTGCGTTTTCCAAACACCGATGGTGTAAGGAAGATCTGCTTCAAAAAAAACATGGCTATTATTTTTTGGGTGTTTTTTTGGGGGGTTCAATATGTTACCAAATTTAAGGAGCCCGCATTTTGGCATCCATTTGCAAAGTCCTTTTGATCATGCATTATTAAGAGAATGTAATATAATATGATGTCCCTACTAATTGTGGATCATTGAACACACTTGAACACACTTGAATCACATATAAGTAATCATTATATTTGGCTGGGATATTGAACACACTTGAATCCCCATCAGGCACTTGGCACAACCATGTGAATCATGTAAGAAAGCGGCCTGCCAGGACTTGACTGAAGCAGACACCACTGCACCGCAGCAAATGGGCGTTGCAGTGCAGGTGCTTCACCATGGCTGCGATGATTTCATTTATTTTAATTTTAATGAATAGACTCAATAGACATTATACCCTCTGGTTATGTCAAAATAGCTATTGAAAATGGCCATAGAAATAGTGGATTTACCCATTAAAAATGGTGATTTCCCATAGTTATGTTAGTTTACCAGAGGGTATAGAATGTATAGCTGAGAAGACTTTCTACATTCTTTCCAAGAGCCCATTTTGGGCTGAGTCCATGCTGCATAGCGGCATAGTTCTGTGGTCCTGGGGACCCTGGGGTGGCAGGCAGTGGAATGGAGCCCTACTCGAGATGAGTTCATTTTGATCAAAGGATATCAACCTGCCAAGGCGACTCCGGAGACCGGTGGCAGGTTGACATTGGGTGTCCAATGGGGTGTCCGACATTGGGTGTCCAACGTCATCCTGGGATTTTGATTTCAACCATGTCAAATTTTATTTGGTGAAGTGTTGAATATAGAGATTACTGCGTTGATTCATCATCATAAACACGTGTCATCTTTGAAGAGCCGCAGCGGCTCAGCGTCAGGGCAGTCAATACAAATGTGTCCTACTTATTATACATATTGATACTATATTAAGAATACTCAATCTGGTCTAAGTTACAGAAGCAACACTATACACAGATTACAAAGCACATGGGTTATGTAACTCATTATACAATATATATATATATATATAATATATATAATATATATATATAATATATATATATAATATATATAAATCAATTAATTAATTAATTAATTATTAATAATAGTAATAATAACAATCATATATATATATATATTAATCAATACATTAATAGATATATTTTTACCATTGTATTTTTTCACATCCACAGATCCGCGTCGCTGAGGTGACCCTTTGGGCCTGGGATGGGGAGAATCATAGCGTGACTCTCGTGAAGGTTCTGACTGAGAAGGTTGGGTATGTGCACCATTCCATGGTGGTACCGGTTGGGGTACCATATTTTTGAGGTCAAAAATGGTTGAAGCCGCCACTTCTGAATGGATATGAATAGCTTTGGTAATCTATGTGATTTTCAGATAGTGGAAAATACCAATAACTATTAAAAATGGTATTTTCAGCTTTTTCATAGCTCAAGTTTGATCACTATGGTTACGAAAAATTCATGGAATAGAATGGATAAACTATGATGCACTATAGTAATCCCATCCCCCATATTAAACACCCCATTGCATGGTCCCAAATACGTGGTTTCATCCTTGGGTGTTTAATATTAGCGGAAGGCATTACTTTCATCAATGCTTGAGGACTTTAATCATTAATATTTTGCAACAAATAGGGATAATATGTATGTGTATATATATAACACACACCTGCGAAACAAAATAATATTCTAATTCATACATCTATTACACACCATCATATATATATGAGATATATCCATCAGTTAAATTTGTATATATATATACACATAAAATGTGCACACCATCCATATAATACATATAACACACACACATATATATATACGTGTATATGTATATATAGATATATTGCAAGGCATCTAAGATTGGCCATAGAACAGGGTGACCCACCCAGAATCTGAAGTCTTGGATGGAACCATGATGAACCATGGGTGATTCCAGGTTTAGCATTTGTACCGTATGTACCCAATGTACAATTCTAGGTTTATGATTTGCATCCATTGATATGTACCTAATATGATTGGTTTACATTCATGATATAATTCTAGGTTTGTGATATTCTATTCATAGAATTGGATGATGGGAAAATTTACAGGAAAGCCCTATATTTGATGGTAAAAACCATGGTTTCCTGTAAATTTTCCCTTAAACCAATCCAGTGATCTATGTAGATATAATATTAAGTCAAACTCCAGCGGAGTTGCTGAAATCTACCAACCTAATATTGACCTGGTGACAATTTTTCCGCCCATTGAGAAATCCCACATGTTGATCTCTGCCATGACAGCCACTGTCAACCATTTTTTGTACAGAAAATGCCAGCTACCTGACATGACTTAGGGGCTGAAAATGGTCCATTTTGAAGATACCCTCTAGTTATGACTAACATAGCCATGGTATAGATGGCCCATTTATAGATGGTTTACCTATTAATAGCATGGTGATCTTTCCATGGCTATGTAACAAATAACCAGAGGGTAAATATGTTTGATAAGTGACATTCGCTTAAAACACAAATCTTCCAGGCACATCGCAACTTCATTCGCTTCAACCACTTCGGTTCGTTGGTCTGCATTGCCGGCTTCGGGACCGATGTTTTTCCGCAGATTGTGTGGAGATGGCCCTTTGTGGATCCAGGTTTTTCCATGTTGAAACCGGAGTTGGAGATTGGTCGTTGATGTTTGGAGGGTACCATCTGGTTATGACTAACAGTTCGCCATGGAAAGATCCACCATGCTATTAAGAACGGTAAACCATCTATTTCGATTAGGGTCATCTATACCATGGCGAACTGGCAATGTCATAACCAGAGGCTACCAATTTTGGGTGATGATTTTGATGTTGGATTTTTAAGGATCTTCTGATTTTGGACCTCTGTTTCAGAAATGTTGGCCATTTTGGGGAAATCCCGGTGCTCCAAATGGAGCTGAGGCGAAACCACCACCCAATTTTTAGGCGCTGGTGACTGGGATAACTGTGGTTGGATTATTCTTCGTTGCTTCAATTCTGCCGAGAAAAAAAGGGCTGCCACAAGGATTTCAGGCCACACATGGATGATGTTCCCATTCTCCAGGAATTTGGCTGGGGAAGTCGATTTCTACGGCAAAAAGGACAATGAGAAGCCACTGCCTCAGCGGATTTTTTTTATGCAATGCATCCAATGCTTCACCACACAGAAGGGCCCCAGGGCCTCTTTCGGATGCATCGACAGAACGTAATGATGATCATGACTCACTGACAGTGAACATGCTAATACCCTCTGGTTATTTAACATAGCCATGGAAAATGGCCCATTTATGGATGAATTTCCCACTAAAACCACCATTTATAATAGGGATTTTCCATGGCTATGATAAATAACCAGATGGTAGTAGTATTGAAAAAAAACAATAATCGAAGAAACCTCGTTGATTGGATCGTTGGGTCTGGCTTGACGAAGTCTGGAGAGATCCAAGATCTATAGGTTCTGGAAGTCACCAAACTAGTGAAAGGGAAATGGTAAAGTAGTATAGAAACTCAAAGGACCCAAGACTAAGGAGACTGGCTTAAGCGTTTTTTTTAACACTTGACTCTTATTTTTTTCGGAGTCGGAATTTGAATTGGGCTTATCAGAGAATCCCATGGAAGATTAAACCTGCATAAACCTTGGTTTTGTACTACTTGGTGGCTCATCCCAGTTAGTAAGTGGGTTATAACCCCAGTTATAAATGGGATAAGTAGGGTTAATCCACTTATAACTGGGGTTATAACCCACTTACTAACTGGGATGAGCCACCAAGTAGATCCATTCATTTTGGGGTCCCTATTGGGGGTACTGGATCTTTTGGGCGGATGAACATAATTTTTGGTTGAGCCGAGTCCATGGTCCGCTTCCACTTAGCAATGCGAGCTTTGACAGCCGAACGTAAGGATGTACTAGATGTACCATTGATGTACACGCAATATACTATGATGTTAAGATATTAAGATAATCAAAATGTCCCAAAGATTACCAAAGAATCTTTGGCAGGTCGCTTCTTCCCGTGAAAAGAACGTGATCCTCACTGGACGTAAGTTTTTTTTGCGGGTAAAGACCATGGTTTCCTGTAGATTTTTTGACCAATCCCCTTGAATTCCTGGTTTCTTCCAGCGCCCAGTTGCGACTTCGTGAAGATCTCGAAGTGCGAAGCCAATTGCGCCGTCAGTGCGGAATGGGGCCCTGATGGTGCGCCGGTATCAGATGGTCAATGTCAACGTCACGAAAAAAAATCCCCATGCATCCCCCATTTTTTTTTCCGTGGCAGGTCGCCACCTCTTAACAGCGGTGTTGTTCCCTCGGATGCGCGTGGATAATGGCCTGACCCTGTGGAATGCCTTGACGGGAACCAAGGTAGGGCTGATGGCGATGGCAGACTGAAGGGAGTAAACTCTCTGGTGAATGGCCATTGGTTAATCATGGGGGTATAACCGGTATAACCAACAATAATATGTTATCAATATTATCAATATATACATATATATATACACATAGATGAAGATATATATATATAGGTATAATTGAAACTTACTTAATATCAATAGTGGATGATTTTTCTGGATAATTCATTGATGGATCATTGAAATAGAAATGATTTCTTGGCGTCTTCTGGCTGCCAAAAACCTACCGGACGAACTGGTGATGACCTGGGATTGTTAGTGGCTTTGCCCCATCATCAATGGCCATGCAACAGGAACCCAAATTGGAGGTACCGATTCCATATATAAGGTCTATTTTTCAGGGCTATGTAAGGGGATAAACCCACAAAATATATCAAAATATGGTCTTATATGGTGCAGTACCTCCATTTTAGGATCCTGAATTCCCATTCACACTATGTAAGATCCTACTACTTGTAGAATAGGTGGTAAGTTGTACTTTCTATCTGGAGGCTGCTGTAGATATTTGACAATCCTTAGTGATGCTAATGATGATATTACTGCAATCACTGTAGGATAAGATTAATAACATGTGTGATTCATGGTCGATTTATATACCAACATAAAGAGTGCATGGGGATACTGTACCAAATTTGAATGGGATAAACGAACATATTGCTGTCACCAGTGGGATCAATTTTGGGAAAACCAAATTTTTTGGATACAACGCTATGATTTCCAAGCTGGCACCGCAACTGCCCAACAATTCCCAAGATTAAGGGCTGAGGCCCAAGTTGATTGGATCAGGATTGGTTCAGCCGATTTCCTGCAGGTGCTTTCCGCTTCTTCGGAACAATTGTATGAGGCGCCAGCTGTGGCTGTTGCCTATGAGCTATGTGGTTTTGACCCCTGCCTGTGATCAAAACCCAGATCATTCTGGCTCGCCATAGATTCTATCTATAAAATCTACACTAGTTCATATCTCAATAAGTAAATAACAGTACATATATATATATAGATATATACAATCTAATAATATCATATTATTACATATTATCATATAATATACATGATATCAGATTGTATATTCAATTCTATTAATTGTCACACATATATATATATATATCACGTATTACATACATCATCACATATATCATGTATTACATACCCCATATGCTCCATGTATGTAATATTTACCTACATTTGGGCCATTTTTGGGGTAAATGTTAGTAAATATGCCATACATGGAGCATATGGGTACATCAGCTTATATAAAGATATCGCGCCAACTGGATCTGAAACTGCCAGGTGGCCTGGAGACCGGGGCAAGCCTCTGACGTAGACATCTCGGCTGAAGAGGTTCCCGAAAAAAGGGGGTCAAGCGCCCAAAATGGACAGTCCAAACACGCCCAAAATGGCAAAATGGGGGCCCTGCAATTAAGTCGCATTTCAACCTGTTCAAAACACATGATGTTGTTGTTGTTGTTGTTTTAATAAGTTGTTTCAATCTTGGAACTACTTTGGGGTGTGATTTTTTTTCTGGTTGGAAGCCAGAAATCGCCAGGTGGGACGTGCCACAATGGCTGTGGACTCAGGAGGGGCCAAAAAGCAGGCCTATAAGCCTCCCAAGGCGGCGCCGATTTTTGGTGCCGTTGTGGGGGTCAATTTTCCGGCCAATTTCATGGGGAAAATGAGGCGAAAAAACCACTGAATTTGGGGATCATGAGGGCATTTGGGATGCGGATCAATTTTGGCGACTTTCACATCACCAAAATAGCGAGTATAGGACATTTCCTCAGTGGTTGTCTTGAAGACAGCAGTTGACCATGGAAAAAGGGGCCTCAACCAGCAACAAGCTCGTCACTTGCTCATCGCTCACTCAGAGGTTTTTGAGCGGTTTTGGTCAGGATTTTGATTCATGTCTCGGGGGAAGTGAGCTCAACTGACGATTTTCGCCTCAAGATGGAGATTAACATGACGACAGATCTGATTTTGATGGGATAATCGTCCCTGCTGCTCCATATCCACCCCCCATCGGGGCACCTAAATAGAATGAGGGGGCAGGAGCCCCTTTTAAAATAAAAGAAACAATAAATAAAATGAACATAAAATGGGTCAGACCCCAGCATTTTATTTTGTGGGTGCATTTTATTTTTTGAGGTGCCTAACCCATCAAGTTAACTGACAGAGATAGCATGATAGCAAAGATGCACAGCTGTGAACGGTCTGATCATTTTGTAAAACATTCCAGAGATTTGGAATTACTTGGACATTAACTTCGAAAATGGGTTGGCCCCCCTCATTTTCTATTGCCTTCCTTGGTCAACAAAAGACACACGGGCAGCTTACAGCAGCCAATGAGATTTCTTAAGTTTATTTATAGTTATTTGTATCTTTTCTAGAAACCGTTGGCACGTGAAAAGGCTAAACAAGACTGAACAAAACAAAAAAAATCAACCAATCAAATAAGGAAACAATGTAAAGGACTAAACAAGACTAAACATGGTTAAAACCAATCAAATAAGGAAGCAATGTAAAGGACTAAACAAGACTAAACAAGACTAAACATGGTTAAAACCAATCAAATAAGGAAACAAGACTAAACAAGATCAACCCAAAAGAAAATGCCGGAGCCCGAGGTCCAACAGTTGCCAATTGTAGGTCCAACAGTGGCCAGGTGGAGGGTGCCTGACATCATTTTCTTTTTGTACCTGTCCATTGTATTTTGCTTGGGTTTTCCTATCTTACCTTATGCCCTCTCATTTTATTGGCATTTTGTCCTTAGGCCCCTGCATTTTATTTTATTTTTTTAGGGGTTCCACCCCCCCCCTGGCAACAGACGGGGGTCATATCCCATCTTAAATTACCGATGGAGATTGGATGATGAATATCCATGAAATTCCCAAACAAGATGTCTCGTAGATATAGGTAAACATAATAATTAGCACATGGTTTAATTGCGAACATGAGGTTCTAATTGCGAAAGACACCTTAATAGCGAAAACCTTCAAATCACCTAATTGCGAAAGAAAGAGAGTCTATGTGCGGAAAAGCCACCGTATGAATATATATTGAATCAATATTGAGTTCCTTTGACTGCAGAAAGACTGAGATCTTTTGTATTTTTTCACAAAGACAATGCCAACTAGTAATTATATATAGTTATATTTCTTTAGTGATTACCATTTCTTTCAGATTCAAACGCGCTCTGTATCTGCAATTGTATGGGTTTATAACCTCAGATATGATATCTACCAGATATATCTACCTATGATATCTACTTCAAACACCGGTTGCACCACTGAAAATCAAACTTGTAACTCACATGGCCAAACTTCTCATTACTCATTTCTTCAGTCCTGAGATCGAAGATTTCCGGAAACTCTGGGAAACTCCATGGTTTCATCGTTGATGTTCCCTTCGATCTGCCTTCGATCGGGGGCTTTCGCCAGGCGCGTGGCACGGGTGACTCCACGGTGGCAGCCATGATGCGTGGAGAGGCGGTTTGTGTGTTTTTTGTTTATTTTTTCGTTCAAACATGTTCACATGTGCAAAATAGTGGTTCATAGTAATTATCATATATGATCATCAATAAGCTTAATGTTTAGTGGTTCATAGTGGTTCATAGTGGTTCATAGTGGTTCATATTCACCCGGATGCGGGTAATTTTTCACAGTTTGCGAACTGGAAAATGGATGAAGGCTCAGGAAAATGGTTGATGACTACCTATTAAAAGTCTTATGAAACACGCCATCGAAGCCATGATTTAGGAGGGATTTAGGAGGAACATTTTCGAGTTTCCACAGAATTGGAAGCATTTAGGAATTTTAGGAAGGGTTTTATAATTGTTATATTCGGGGGATGACTTTTTTGTGCGAATCAAAGGGGAAATCAAGCCATTGATAAGGGATGTTTATTGACGATGTTTTTTAAGAGTTTTTTCTGGGGATTAAAGAATCAATATCACCATAATATGGATATTATTCATATCTGGTTGGTGGTTTGGAACATTTTTTATTTTTCCATATATTGGGAATAGTAACCCCAACTGACGAATATTTTTCAGAGGGGTGGAAACCACCGATATATAATGATATATATATAATATGTTTTTTTGGGAGCTGATGTATCGATATAGGTTTACGATATTGCATATTAGAACACTCTAAGTGTAATATTTGACATGCAATTATCAGGTGATGAATCATCAATATCTATATGTTGATGATTGTTTGTTTTGATGTACATTCTCGATATTATCTACACAAACGAGATGTTCATCATCAATTCCCCAAATTTGGCCCGACCATCCTCACTTTTTTTGCAGTATTTTCGATTTAAGAGCCAACATGTTTTGTGGTCTGTCTCTATTTTTGATGGTGAACATACCACGCTTATTGTATACAAACTCGCATGCATCATTGCGGGTTTGTCTGCAAATGAAACCACCATGGGTTTTGAAGATGTTTTACCCTCTGGTAAACTAACGTAACTATGGAAAATCACCATTTTTTATGGGTAAATCCACTATTTCTATGGCCATTTTCAATAGCAAACTGTTAGTTTACCAGAGGGTAAATTCTATTAAATTACCATTAAACCACCATTAAACCACCATTAAACCACCATGAAACCACCATTAAACCACCATTTACTCATTTTGGATCATTTGGGGTACCCCCCTTTAACTCCCAGGTGGCTGTCCCCGATGAAGACCGGCGTCGGAGGCGAGTTTTCGATGGCGGCGCCATGGATCCATGGGGTGAACAGAGGAGTAGCGGAGTAGCCCCGTTTGTTATGGCTATTTTAAGAGGGAAGATGAAGTTTTAAACCATGGGATAATATGGGATAATCATGATTTTTTTTTCTGCATCTCAAAATATTCGAATTCAATGGCCAGTTGGAATGGTGGACGACACTTTGAGTATGAACCCAACTATGCCCAACCACAATCCATTGGGAGAGATTAACATAATACCTTCCAGAGAAGTCACGTAGATTTGGAACAACTACCATTTGTAGATTATTTTCTGGGAAACCTATGGATTTCTACAGCTTATTGAATGTTTACTTGAGGATATCCAAATTGGACAACACTGGGTTCTGGTGAAGTGATGAAGATCTATTGCAGTTCTTGGCATAGAATGCAGAGACTTGCTGGGCAGAGAATCTTCACATACCCTCCGGTAAACGTTTACATAACCATGGAAAATCACCATTTTTGATGGGTAAATCCACTATTTCTAACTATAAATGACCATTTTCAATAGCTTTTTGTATGTTTACCAGAGGGTAAATCCCATTAAATTGCCAGTAACTCCCATTAGACTCCCATTAAACCACCATTAAACCACCATTTTGGATCATCTAAACTGATTCGTTGCTTTGGATGGTCTTACTGTGGATGAGTCCCTTGAGTCCCGTTGAAACGTTCAGGATTTAAGCTGCATAGAAAAATGGTTGATCTCCTGATTCTTACCCTCTGGTAAACGTTTACGTAGCTATGGAAAGATCCACCATTTTTTATGGGAAAACTCACTATTTCTATGGCAATTTTCAATAGCTATGTTAAATTACCAGAGGGTATTCTGTATGATCATTTAAACCGCATTGGGTGTCACCAGGTCATATTTGGCATATTTGGCAATGGTTCTGTTTCTGATCATTTAAATCATGGTTTGATTGGGATTGCTTTATCTCACCCTTTAAACTCGCCATTAGGTTATGTTGATGGTGTTAATTCCCCATTATTCACCGGGTAAATCTCCCTTGGTTATTGTCAAACCACCCCATTTTTGATTGTCCCCGCTGTTGGTTGATTCCATCCCAATTCCGGGTGCGTCTGAAATAATTTTCTTGCTGAAGCAACGCATCTCCCCACATTTACAACCTTTTTTTATCATGTTTTCTGGTGAACATCTATATGGATGCTGGTTACATCCACCCAACTTTTCCCAGCGGAATGGCTTCCCAATTGTTGATGGTAAACCCAGCATTTCTGTGGAGGCCTTGGCAATCGAAGAAGGAGTCTGACAGGTGCAGAATGGGTTTTTTGTGAGGGCAGATGATATGAGATTCAACCAACCATGGCCGAAATGGTGGGTTTTCATGGGGTGAAAATGCTGGGGTTAAGCAGTTTAAGCCTCAAAGATCATAGAAAATGGGTATTTGACCGTCAAACAGTTGGTGACACTTGGGTATACTTGGGTATTTAACCCTCAACTTAAATTTCACCTATGAGTATTGAAGATGGATAGGATATATGGGGTTCTTATGGGATTTAACCATCGGCAGTGTGAGAATGCAGATTAATCATCAACAATTGGGATCAGCAAGTTATTGGGCTTTGTTCCAAAATGGGATGTACCGTTGTTGATGGATGGGGTGATGATGCTGGTGATGATGCTGGTGATGATGCTGGTAAAAGGGTTATTTTCGTTCTACAAATTGGTTGTTTGCTTATGGTTTGAGACTCTGCTAGAAATATCTAGATAAATTGAAACGACCTCGTTGCGACCTCGTTAGTAGGGCATATTTTCCCATCATGGCCTTGTTTCAGTTTGGGGGATTTATTGTGATTCAACCGGTCTATTGTTTTTAAAAGGATGGCTATTGTTTTTTTTTTGGGGGGGGGGGCCAGGTTTTGGATTTTATTTTATTTTTGATTCCTGGTTCTTTGCTTCTCTGCTTTCTGCTTTTCCTTCTTCTCTGCTTTTCTGATTTTCCTGTTTCTCTGCTTTTCTGCTGTTGCTGCTTTTCTGCTGTTCCTGCTTCTCTGCTTTTCTGCTTCTCCGCTTTTTGAATTTCCTTCTTCTCTGCTTTTCCTGCTTCTTTGCGTTTATACTTCTCTGCTTTTCTTGCTTCTATCTTTTCTGCTTCTCTTCTTTTCCGCCTTTTTTCTTTTCCCGCTTTTCTGCTTTTCTGCTTCTGTGCCTTTCTACTTCTACTTTTCTTCAGTCATGTGTTTTTGCTGCTCTACTTACTCTGCTTCTTCCTTCTCCTCTGCTTCTCTGCTCGCTTCCTTTCTTTACTGTCTTTTTGTTTTTCTTTTTCTTTGCTTTATTCTCTCCTGTTTGTATCCTGAATGAAACCCTAGATGAAACCCTGAAGAAATCCTAGATGAAGACCCTAAAGAAACCCTGCTTCTCTGCTCGCTTCCTTTCTTTACAGTTTTTGTTTTTGTTTTTTCTTTTGCTTTATTCTCGCCTGTTTGTATCCTTAATGAAACCCTAGATCAAACCCTGAAGAAATCCTAGATGAAATTTACTTCCCAATCTGATATCCCTATTCTATATCACGATTTGAAATTCTCACAATTCCCCATTGTTGGTTGCTTCCCGTTAACAGCCACTAAGAGCCATTCAAACCATTAATAACCATATGAAACTATACATGACCATTAATAATCATTAGTAAGCATATAAAACCATATAGAGTATAACCATGAACAATAGCCATCAATAGCCATCAACAAGCCACGCGAAAAATCCTATGGTGTTCCATGACTCAGATGACCATTCCGGAAAATTCACCAGCCTTTGCAGGAACTTCTCAGCAACATCTCCTCCGCATTCTCCAGAATCGGAGGATGCCAATGGGCAAACGCCTCAGTTTATCACGAAAATCGATTTTCAGAACCTCAGTTTATCACGAAAATCGATTTTCAGAAGGGGATTATTTTTGGGTGGGATTGTCATGAGATTCTTCTGGGATTTTCAGAACGCAGTGTTCTGCGTGCGTGGCGGGGGGCCTAGCCAACCAAGACTAATCATGTTATATTTTTTGGCGGGATATGAATATATACATTATTATATATATATATTAAATTGTCATACACCATAGACATATATTTGCATATATTTGCATACCCCATAACGGTCACCGTTTCCACGTGGAAAAAACCCAGGAAAAATCGGCGTCGGCCGAGAAACTCCGGAAATTCCGCCAGGGGCAAGTTGTCGCCGCCCTACTCACCACCGCGGAAAGTCAAAGACAAGTCACAGGCCGAGCTGGTGCCGGACCTTCGACCATTCCATGGAGAATGGTGATGGATGGTGATGGTATCTATGGAGACCATGGTTTAATGGTGAAAAACAGGACCATGGTTTTTCATCATACATGTTTTTTTTTTTTATAGGATTAATAGTGATTAATATGATAGACCATGGTTGAATATGGATTATCCCATGGTTTAGTAGTGACTTTTTTTTGATTAATACCATAGAATGGTTGATAAACCATATAATTAATAGTGATTAATAGTGGATTAATAGTTAGTTATTCATGGATTATTATCCTCTGGTTATGTCAAAATAGCTATTGAAAATGGCCATAGAAATAGTTGAGTTTCCCATTAAAAATGGTGATTCTCCATAGCTATGTCAGTTTACCAGAGGCTATCCATGGTTTAGTAGTGATTAATAGTCCATATTCAACCATTAAAAACTAACTATTCAGAGTGGATTACTATACGTATATGGATTATTCATGGTTGACTCCATTAATCCATATTAATCCATAATGATATTGTCTACATTTTATTAATATGGATTATTAATGGATTATTAATGGTTGACTATTAATCCACTCTGAATAGTTGAGTATGACAAAACACGACTATTAATTGAAGTAATCCATGGTTCAATCAGTTATGATGGACTAATTCCACTATTGAAAAAACTGAGAATGGTTGGTGGAGTCCCCAAGTGATAACATACTGGTAAACCTACAAAAAGCTATTGAAAATGACAATAGAAATAGTGGATACCCATGAAACATGGTGATTATCCATAGTTATGTTTCCATAAATGGTGGTTTTCATAAACAGGGATACCCCAAAATGGATAGTTTATAAGGGAAAAGCCATCTATAAATGGATGATTTGGGGGCAGCCATATTTTAGGAAACCCCCATATGTATTTATATCCATAGTAGAATATAGATTGTATACATCATATGTATATATATATATAGTGTATATATATATATACATAATACATTTCTTTGGGTTCTATATACAGAAAAAAGCATATACTTGTATAAGAGTTTGCCTGAAGGATTCGATCCCATTGCTTTTTTTGCCCTGGAAGATGACCATGATGGAAACTGGATGTCATATGATTTGGGATGCACTTCATATTGCAACTCATTTTTGGTGTGCGGAAATGAGGCTAGATTTTTTTTGGGCCCCAACTTGACCATTTTCAAACATTTTGACGGTGACCCCATCCAATTGATGTTTTTGATTTTGGAGGAACTCAGTAGCAGCAAACGCGGGGTTCACCCCAAGGAAGCCTTGAGAGTTGATGCCATGGATTTTTTCAGGAGTGTTTGCTCAATGAGTGTGGATACTTTTCTGCTCAATTTTCTTGGACATATGTCCATGATATTTTCATCTCCATCTATCTCCATCAAAGTCCTGGTGAAATCTTCGTGAAATCTTCGGAGAAGAAATGTCGGCAGGATGTGTCGCAACCGTCACAACCCTTTAGTCGTGGTACCTCCTCAAATGCCGAGTCACAGAATCCGGCCGGGAAGCAAAGTCATGGCATGGGGAATTTTTTTTTTGAGGGGTTTCCATAGTTCCATAGTCATGGGAGTAGCCCAATAGCTGGATGGTTTATGATATTTTATGATTAATGGACAATACCATCTAGAAATGGATGATGACTGGGGATAGCCCTATTTCAGGAAGCCACTTAAAATGATGGGAAAATGATGGGAAAATGGACAACAAATCTTGGGCGAGGTGGTGAATTATTCATGGTGAATCAACTCATGGTGAAGCGTGGAAATGGGAAATGGATACTATATAAAATAGGGATATAAAATAGGGCTTTAGGGCTGGATTGATTATGAGTTACTGTGGATTAATCATCAACTTCATTGGGATTCAACAATTATATGCAATTATGTGGGTTTATGGAAAACCAAGAGATCCACTAGTGAATCATCATTTTTCTGATCAAAAATGGCCATGACTATTTTTAGACAGACCTACTTGGAGTTTGTTTCGGATCGGTGGTTATAAGAAAACACCTTGATGGAGGTGCAGTGTGGCTGACAATATGATCAATGTTTGATAATCACCCTGATTAGTTGACATTTTGTGCTTTGAAAGAAATATAAGGGAAAATTAAGGGGTAATTTTGAGGGTGAATCATAAACACTTGAAATCGAGGTTGCAGAAACCCGGGGTTTTGACATGCTCCATAATACCTGCGGTAGGATGTAAACGCAAAATTCCAGAACTTCAGGGGTTGATGACAAGACTGGGGTATTTTGATCCGTAGGAACTTATTTTGGGTCTTATGGCTCTGAGTTGTCAGATGACAGTTGAGCCCAAGGCCACTTATAAAATCTTGTAAGTAGTAAGTGTCAGTACCTACTGTGTACTCGCGGACGTTTTTCGGGTGGTGTGAAAATGTTTCAGGGACATGCCAAACGTATCCGTATCGGTGTCATCATGGTGAATGATGAACGGCGCCCTTCTGTTTTCTCTCCGGATGGCAAATCTTACCCTCTGGTAATTTAACATAGCTATTGAAAATCACTATTTTCAATGGGTAAATCCACTATTTCTATGGCCATTTTCAATAGCTTTTTTGACATAACCAGAGGGTAATGGTAAGAAAGGTGTCATGTTTTTTGTTGGTCATCTCCCTGGCGCCCTTGTGCGATGATGAATGATGATGACTATCTGGGTTTTGCGATCCATTCACCACACTCTCAATGTTTCTCTAAAAAATTCGGGACTCTCCCAAAGAAGGATTTTATACCAGTTTTGGATTTATCACTCTGTGTTTCTTCGAAAATTCGAGGTCCCCGACCATTTTGCCAGTTATGAAAGTATTTGATTTACTAACTCTTCAGCCATATAGTAATCAATAGTTGTTGCCGTAATCTAAAACATGATGCCCGAAGAGTGAAAATCACCAATGGTAATTAGAAAAAAACCATATATGAATCAAGAAAAACCATATTAATCCACATGACACCTCTATTTTTGTGGCTTGCTACATGGCCAATTTTGTTGTCACCACTGAGGCACAGCCGCCCTCCCAGCGCGTCTCACCCAAAATGGCCGCGCGCGTCAGTCCGGAACTGGGTCCGCGCTCCTTGCGTTTGCCACTCCTGGAGGCCAGGGATGCGGGCCGAATGGGGTCGAAATCGTTATGGTTTCAAGCCCCAAATGACCATAGAAAATGGGGAAAATGATGGGAAAATGATCGCAAGGCTGGCGAAATTTCACGGGATAAGTAAAGCAGCACTGCCTATTTTCAAGAAGCCGAGCTTTTTCGCGGATGCAGATTTCGGATGAGATTTGGATTCCTGGATGTTCAGCAGCCAATCTGAGAGTTGTGATCAGCTGAAAAAGTTTGAACATTCAAAGGACCATCTAAATGATGAAATACGATGAATAAGTGATAGATTCTGGATGAATAAATGATGAATAAATGAATCTTTATAAATAGATATAAATGAACCATGACATGACATTCAACAGACTGCTGGCACACATGGATGATGTACGGTATTTTAAACAAGTTTTTACAGAATCGCAACGACACTGAGGACCATTCAACAGTGCTTGGAACAGAATCAGTTGTTGGAACGGAGGCTATGATGGAGCCGCCAGAACGAACGCTGGGGAACCCAGACTAATGGTGACAAAAACATGAGTGTTCACTGCCCCTGTTGATTTTTGTAGGGCCTTGTGAGCGCAAACTATGGAATGCCCTGACCAACACGGCTCACATGGCTGGAGGATCAGAGCTGTTTATTCCAACATTGAAAGCCGTGAAAGTCCAATGGTTGTTAAATTTGTTGATATGTGATACCCCCTGGAGTTTCCTCTAAAAAATCCCAACCGCTAGTGGCTGTACAAAGCGAATTTTGTAGTAGAGCTATTTTAGGGATCTGTTTAGGGTATATAGGCATGACCCTCAGGTTTGTTCTTTTTAGAGGGATACTTTTGGGGAACAGTACAGTGTGCATTTGACCCATGTTTGGGATTTCGTAGGCGTTTTAAAGGATACTTTTTTATGGTGCACTTAAGGGACCCTTGTTTGAGATTTTTTAGAGAACCAGGATTTTTTTAGAGGGGCCATTTGTAAGGGATCCTTGTTTGGGATTTTGTAGAGAACCATAAAAAAACGAAAAACAAACTTCAAAGCCGTTCAAAACACAGGCAAACGAAGGAATGTTGACCCAGCATGTTCTGCAAACATGCTGTGCGCTTTTCCTGCACACCAGTTTTTTGCACATGATTTACACCAATCCGTGTTGTTTCTTTTTGGCATTTTCCGTGGTGCTTTTAGCGCTTGCGCCCCAGACTGGCCACTACAAAATCAAAAATCAAAAGCATACTACACCAAACCTGTTAATACCATTTAATGATATTCAGATATTCATGATTCAAGACCATGAAATATCCACCAAAAAAAACTCTAATTAGAAACATTTCAACAAAAACAGAACATAATATGTGCATACATACATACACTTGCCAAACAATTATGTGTCCGTTGTTTTTTTGTTTTGTTTGTTATGGTGGCTATGTTGGACTAGTGGAGTCTTTTCAGACATGAGCAAAGTGAGATGCTTGCTACATAGTGACCTAGTGGGGTGGTAACCCCCAAACAAATGAAAAAGTATGAAAGAGTGAATATTCACGAATTAACTGGAGATGTTGTTTCCTATCTCTTTTTGGGGGTGTGTACGGGGGTACATATATTATATATATATATACATATTGTGATTTCCAAGCATGATGCCAACACCTTTCCAGCAAGGGTCCCCTTTTGTCGAAAGAATACTTTTTGATGATCCCATCTGACCATCGTGCAAGCAGCTGGGTGATAACTGGGTGATAAACACCAAAAAAAACCTGGGTGATAAGCAGATGATAACTATGGTGATATTTAGTATATATCTATGATAAACACCATCTGATGATAACTATTTAGTCATAAGCAGAGTTCTGATATTTAGCACCGATAAAAAGCACGAACGCGAAATCGATCCTGATTAGTCCGGGTCGCTGAGGGAACAAAGCTTGGCTGCAGCTTTGGCCGCGCAAAGTCTCAGTGGATTCTTGGAAGAGTTTTGATAGACAGATAGAAAGAAAGAAAGAAAGATAGATAGATAGATAGATAGATAATTAGATAGTTAGATAGATAGTTAGATAGATAAATAGATATTTAGATAGATGGATAGATAGTTAGTTAGATAGATAGTTAGATAGATAGATAGTTAGATAGATAGATAGCTATATAGTTAGATAGATAGATAGACAGTTAGTTAAATAGATAGATAGTTAGTTAGTTAGTTAGTTTGTGAGATAGATAGATAGATAGTTTGATAGATATATATAGTTTGATAGTTAGACAGATAGATAGATAGATAGATAGTTAGATAGATAGATAAATCGATAGATAGTTAGCTAGATGGATAGATAGATAGTTAGATAGATAGATAGTTAGATAGATAGATAGTTAGATAGGTGAATAGATAGTTAGTTAGTTAGATAGATAGATAGATAGATAGTTTGATAGTTAGATAGTTAGATAGTTAGAAAGATAGATAGACAGATAGAAAGATGGATAGATAGATAGTTAGATAGATAGATAGTTAGATAGATAGATAGTTAGATAGGTGAATAGATAGTTTGTTAGATAGATAGATAGATAGTTTGATAGTTAGATAGTTAGATAGTTAGAAAGATAGATAGACAGATAGAAAGATGGATAGATAGATAGTTAGATAGATAGATAGTTAGATAGATAGATAGTTAGATAGGTGAATAGATAGTTTGTTAGATAGATAGATAGATAGATAGTTTGATAGTTAGATAGTTAGATAGTTAGAAAGATAGATAGACAGATAGAAAGATGGATAGATAGATAGTTAGATAGATAGATAGTTAGATAGATAGATAGTTAGATAGGTGAATAGATAGTTAGTTAGATAGATAGATAGATAGTTTGATAGTTAGATAGTTAGATAGTTAGAAAGATAGATAGACAGATAGAAAGATGGATAGATAGATAGTTAGATAGATAGATAGATAGATAATTAGATAGTTAGATAGATAGTTAGATAGATAAATAGATTTTTAGATAGATGGATAGATAGTTAGTTAGATAGATAGTTAGATAGATAGATAGTTAGATAGATAGATAGTTAGATAGATAGATAGTTAGATAGGTGAATAGATAGTTAGTTTGATAGATAGATAGATAGTTTGATAGTTAGATAGATAGATAGTTAGATAGTTTGATAGTTAGATAGATAGATAGATAGTTTGATAGTTAGATAGATAGATAGTTAGATAGTTAGATAGTTAGAAAGATAGATAGACAGATAGATAGATGGATAGATAGATAGATAGATAGTTAGATAGATAGTTTAATAGTTAGATAGATAGATAGATGGATAGATAGATAGATAGATAGTTAGATAGATAGTTTGATAGTTAGATAGATAGATAGTTAGATAGTTAGATAGTTAGAAAGCTAGATAGACAGATAGATAGATGGATAGATAGATAGATAGTTAGATAGATAGTTTGATAGTTAGATAGATAGATAGATAGATAGTCTGTTAAATAGATAGATAGATAGTTAGATAGATAGATAAATCGATAGATAGTTAGTTAGATGGATAGATAGATAGTTAGATAGATGAATAGATAGTTAGTTAGATAGATAGTTAGTTAGATAGATAGTTAGTGAGATAGATAGATAGATAGATAGATAGTTAGATAGATAGTTTGATAGTTAGATAGATAGATAGATAGATAGATAGTTAGATAGATAGTTTGATAGTTAGATAGATAGATAGATAGATAGTCAGTTAAATAGATAGATAGATAGTTAGATAGATAGATAAATCGATAGATAGTTAGTTAGATGGATAGATAGATAGTTAGATAGATGAATAGATAGTTAGTTAGATAGATAGTTAGTTAGATAGATAGTTAGATAGTCAGATAGATAGTTAGATAGTTAGATAGATAGATAGATAGTTAGATAGATAGTTTGATAGTTAGATAGATAGATAGATAGATAGTAGATAGATAGTTAGATAGATAGATAAATCGATAGATAGTTAGTTAGATGGATAGATAGATAGTTAGATAGTTAGATAGATAGTTAGTTAGATAGATAGATAGATAGTTAGATAGTTAGATAGTTAGATAGATAGATAGATAGTTTGATAGATAGATAGATAGATAGATAGTTAGATAGTTAGATAGTTAGAAAGATAGATAGACAGATAGATAGATGGATAGATAGATAGATAGTCAGTTAAATAGATAGATAGATAGTTAGATAGATAGATAAATCGATAGATAGTTAGTTAGATGGATAGATAGATAGTTAGATAGATGAATAGATAGTTAGTTAGATAGATAGTTAGTTAGATAGATAGTTAGATAGTTAGATAGTTAGATAGTTAGAAAGATAGATAGATAGATAGATAGTTAGATAGATAGATAAATCGATAGATAGTTAGTTAGATGGATAGATAGATAGTTAGATAGATGAATAGATAGTTAGTTAGATAGATAGTTAGTTAGATAGATAGTTAGATAGTTAGATAGTTAGAAAGATAGATAGATAGATAGATAGTTAGATAGATAGATAAATCGATAGATAGTTAGTTAGATGGATAGATAGATAGTTAGATAGATAGATAGTTAGTTAGATAGATAGTTAGTTAGATAGATAGTTAGATAGTTAGATAGTTAGAAAGATAGATAGATAGATAGATAGATAGATAAATCGATAGATAGTTAGTTAGATGGATAGATAGATAGTTAGATAGATGAATGGATAGTTAGTTAGATAGATAGTTAGTTAGTTAGTTAGATAGATAGTTAGATAGTTAGATAGTTAGATAGTTAGAAAGATAGATAGATAGATAGATAGTTAGATAGATAGATAAATCGATAGATAGTTAGTTAGATGGATAGATAGATAGTTAGATAGATAGATAGTTAGATAGATGAATAGATAGTTAGTTAGATAGATAGTTAGATAGATAGATAGTTAGATAGTTAGATAGTTAGAAAGATAGATAGATAGATAGTTAGATAGATAGATAATTCGATAGATAGTTAGTTAGATGGATAGATAGATAGTTAGATAGATGAATAGATAGTTAGATAGATAGATAGGTAGATAGTTAGATAGATAGTTAGATAGATAAATAGATATTTAGATAGATAGATAGATAGTTAGATAGTTAGATAGTTAGAAAGATAGATAGACAGATAGATAGATGGATAGATAGATGCAGTATATGGGATCCTTGCAAAAGTGTTTACCTCCAGAATTGGCCATTTTTTCTAAATCCCCACATGATTGGGATCCCTGAAGTCGGAGTAATATTCCCGGACGGCTGTGATGTTGGATAGAGATTGTCCACAAGCCACAACGGAATAGCCATTAACCAACCATCATGAAAACCAACCAATGCAATGTTTCAGGGGACAGAGATATTATTCATGGCTCACCTTGTTTCACATTAGGGGCAATGAGTAGAATTCAGCCGGCACGCCACAAGGAAGTGGAACTGGAGCGGATTTGGTTCCTCGGCACAGCGAATTCGGTCCACTGGCAGACCTAGGCCTAGAGGAGTTCTTGTTATAATTTTGGACCTCAATGATGCGAAATATCAAAGTTGAAGTGTTGCAGCTTAGGATGTTATTATATATTATATATATATATATATTTACAATGATATATAAATATATAATTATATATACTATACGTATATTTACAATGATATATATATATATATATCACTATAACAATGTAACAATGCAGCAATTCCGCTGGGAGTTTTCGGTTTACGCGGCGCGAACTTCTGCTCGTTAGGCGAACTTCCTGGCGGCGGCGGAGGTCGAGCAGCGACTGAAGCAGCAGCAACAGCAACAGCAACAGCTTGGACAGTTGCAGGACCAGCTGCAGTCACTGGTCCCAAGGGATTCCAAGGGACTCCCAGCTGTATTTTTTGTGAAGATTGAAGCAGAAGGGAGAGGTTTGGGAGGATTCATGTTGAAAAAATCACTAAATTAGTTATATTCATTTAATTGCATATACATATAAATAATTATATATATATGTGTGTGTTTGTGTATACGTATATATATATATATGTATATATATACATAACTACTTACATATACATATACAAATATATACATATACACACGAATCAGCTAAACAGATTTACATTTCCTCGGAGGTGGTAGTCAGGAGTTTTTTCCATGAAACCGCATCAACACATTTGAACTGTTTCCATGTGGCAGATTGTTGTAATCCAAACCCCAACAAGTTGTCGCTGCTCCTCCAGATCACACCACCACTTTAGTTGTCATCCAGCATATTTGGAGCTGTTCGTTGGCGTATGTTTTTTTTCGGTGTTGGATATGCTGGGTGAAACCATGGGCTTCACCCCATCGACATTTCGTGTTTTTTCGACACGGTCTCGAGGCAACAGAAGATGCAACAACAAAAATTAGCCGCATACCGCCAGCAAGAAATGTTGCAAGCGCTGGGACAAGGTGCTTCTGTAGCTGGGGTAGCTGGGGTGGGATGTGACCATCCAAATTTGTGATGCTACTGGGGATTAAAAGTTGGAGGTAAACATCATCAAGAATCATGAAAATCCTGGACTTAACAATGAAAAAGGGGTGATTTCAATGCAGAAGAATGGATATGGATGGGGATAGAACGGGGCTAGCATGGAGTTTAACCATCAACAGTGGGATACTGGAGATTGATCATTTTAAATATACTTAAATAACAATTAATCACCCTTAAATAACCTTTAAATGACCATTGAATAATCATTACATCATCATTAAATAACAATTAAATAACCATTAAATAACCATTACCTGGAACCCCAATGTCGCAAAATAAAAGGTACAAAGGATTTTTCCGGCCAAAGAGGTAACAAACACGATAAAAAGGGAACATTTCCTGGAAAAGGATCACAGGTTTGTTGCTGTTTTTGTCACATCCTGAAGCTCTATCAAGGCAGAACAAACAGTCAGAGTGAAGCACCTAAACATGAACAGTCCTAACAATACTTGTGTTTTCGCTCTCAAGATTAACAAGAACACTAAAAAACATGAACAAGTCCTGGCTTAATCATTCTGGATATTTCTAGCACCAAAGACTCCCAGGACCTGTGGCATTTCTAGCACTGTTCCGGGAATTTCCGGCACAATTCCGCGAATTTCTGGCACAATTCCGGGAATTTCCGGCACATTTCCGCGAAATCGGCAAACATATCTAACCACAAATCCAAGAATCTTGAGCCATGGAACATCTGTATACATTTGCTAAAATTCAGGTCAAAACAATGCAATTGTCCCTCCATTTGCTAACTCCCCGTCAAGCGTTCGCTATCTTGGAAGCTCAGTCAGTTCCAAAATGTGTCAAACATTGCCCGTATGCCAAATGCTCTGAAAAAGGAACTTAAATCCCAAAAAAACAAGCACAAATGGTTTAAAACTGGTTTTTCAATAACAATTGAATAACCGCCGTCCTTCAGGCGGCAGTGCCCGTGCAGCCACCGCGGCCACCGCGGCCAGCGCGGCCAGTGCCACGGCCAACGCGGTGAACCGGACTCAGCTGGAAGCAGCTTTGGCGCCTTGGACTGGTGAATTGTTACCCTCTGGTAATAGCTAACATAGGTATTGATAATGGCCATTTATAGTGACTTTTCCCATAAAAAATTGTGATTTTCCATAGTTATGTTAAATTACCAGAGGGTATCTAATGGTGATTTGTGGTTATTTAATGGTTATTTACTGGTGATTTAGCAGTACCCGCACGAGGCGGGGTGGAAGTTGCCTTATGTCGCAGTGGAATGGCTGCATCAAGGCTTCTCGAAGGGTACTTGTTCTCCAGTACTGTCTTGCGATTCTGATTGTTTTGCAGGTCATTGTTGGCAGATCGCATTGGAATTGCTACATCATCGATGCGATTTGAATGTTAGGATTTGCACGAAACATTGTGTCTTTTCAGGTAAACGGAGGTTTCGTTGCGGAGAAAAGTTGGCTCGCGTGCGCGAGGGTTACGGGCGTCGCCGCTTTGCCGTCGATTCTGTCTCAAATTGCGCGCCCAGTGGAGCTGAGGGTTCCAGGTGACTTTTTCTAGTCTTTGTTGCTGCTGTGCTATTGCGTTTTGCGTGTGTGGGGACACTTTGTGCATTGAAACTTGTGCATTAAGGCGATGTGTTCTACAGTAGCGTGTTGCAATTCTATTGTGTTGTGCAATTCAGTCTACGCAGATCGCAGTGGAATGGCTGTGCCAAGGTTCCGCGCTGCTGCGGCTGCGTGCGTAATACGATTGTGTTTTGCAGCTGAGGGTCGTCAATCGCAATGTAATGGCTGTCTGAAAGTTGGTGCTTTGGCAGCACATTTTTCTTCATTTCGGTGCTGACAAATTTCCTTTAAAAAATCCTTTTAGAAAGTGCTTCAAAATCGTCGTTTTCCCGCTTGGGCGTCGAGATCCGGTTTTGGAGCTGCAATTTGTGTAGCCGCTTTAGCCGTTGTGCGTAATTCTTTTGCGTTTCGCAACTCGGTCTCTCCAGATCGCAGTGGAATGGCTGCGTCAAGGTTCCTCGCTGCTGCGGCTGCGTCCATGAGACTATTGTGTTTGGAAGCTGAGAGTCGTAAATCGCATTGCAATTGGCTGTCTGAAAGTTTCGAATGTTTAAAAAGTGCTTCAAAATCCTCGTTTTTTTGCGTGGGCGTCGAGATTTGGTTTTGGAGCTGCAATTTATGTAGCCGTTATGCGTAATTCTTTTGCGTTTTGCAACTCGGTCTCTGCAAATCGCTCATGTTGGCATGTTTAAGTGGCATCTTTGTACCTTTGGCATGGCATTCAATAGGCCCTTGCAGGACGTTCTTCTGCCGGCAGCGCTCTGCGAGCTTCACTTCGGCAATCGCTTCGATCAGGCCCTGGATGGCATTCGCTGGCCATCGCAGCTGCGGCTTTTGCATTTTGGTTCTGACTTCAATCACTCCCTGGCTACCGCGAATCTACCAGACCAACTCGAAACCCTCGTGTTGGGGCGGTTTTTTCAACAGGATTTGCGTTTGCCGCAGTCATTGTTGCGCCTCACCCTTGGCGAATGCTTTCCGTTGGAACGACATCCGCTCTTTTGGCCGCCGTACCTTGAGGAACTGAGCATCAAGCGACTGTTTCTCAAAGTTCCGGTCGACGTCACGTTTCCGGAGACCATGCGCAAGCATGCGCAAGCTGGATTGCGACGGCGACATTTTGGAAGTGTAGCAGAAAGAAGCAAGGAAGAAGAGCGCTCGGCTGTGCTGCCTGCGTTTGCCACACCTCGCTGCATTCCGGTGGCGCGCACAGCTGTGCTGCTTGCGTGTCCTTGTTCGTTTCGCCTTTCGGGGCAGCAGGACTCAAAGACGCGTGCGGCTGTGCTGCTCACGCGCTCTTGACAGATGGCTGCTCGTGACGTCACAGCTCTTCGCGAGCGAAAAAATGCTGCGGCCCAAGCGTGCTTGAACGTTGGACCCACAGGTAACAGTCAACAATCCAGTGGGATTGAATGATAGTACATGACGCGAGAATGATAACATGATAACACAATCGAATGTTGAAAACCATGATCGAATGGAAAGGCAACTGTGTCATTTCGATTGTGCTGAGAAGAAAATGGACAGGTGGAACTGATGTGAGTCAACACGAGTTCAAAGGCATTGAGAGGAGAAGAGAGAGATGAAAAGAGAGTTGAGGAGAGTCAAGAAGATGTGCACAGAAATGAAGGTCGTTGAAAAGAGATGACGAGAGGTGAGAAGTCGTTGGAAGAGTTGACAAGTGGTTTCACAATTTGCGACAAGAGGTCAGAAGTCCCGGAAAAGAGCACGGAAGTCTGCTGCAGCTCCTATAGGCAAACCTTGTCTTTGGATCCTATGGCCGCGTTACACTTCTTAAACCTGGAAACTTCCGCCACAGTTCTACTTGTAATAATGATATAATAACTGTATCATAGTAAAACATAAAACCAAGTATATACCAAGTATACGCAATTATGTATTGTATTTCTTTCTCAGTGTACATGCCACAAGTTGTATATACACATGCTTTGTTGACCAGCCAAGGCCTCTATTTATTCCCAGCAGCAGCAGCAGCAGAATTCGTCAACCGCAGAAAATTTTTCAAAGCACATGCAGCACCAGAAGCAACGCTCCTGGGCAGCATTGGCGAAACGGGATTTGAGGGTTTCCATAGTCATGGGGGTACCCCAATAGCTGGATGGTTTATTTCATGGAAATCCTATTTAAATGGATGGTGACTGGGGGTACCCCCATTTTAGGAAACTTACATGACTATGGAAAATCCTGCTATAAATCGATGATAGTCATGGGGTACCCCCATGACTATGGTGAGGGCCCCATTTCTGTTCAAGAACTCTCGGAGGAAGGCATCATCAGCTACGGGAAAGCCCCCAAATACCATGTTTAGCCATGGTTTATCACCGGTTTCCTTATCATTTGGACAGTAGTTCTATAGCACATTTGCACTTGTTATCCAAAACATTGCTTGGATAATTTCCAGAATTGCATTGAGAAAATTGCGGCTTTCACTTGCTTATTGATTCTGAATTAACACTAGCCATCATCTGGATAGTAGCAACAGTTGATAGTTCCATTTTCCATAATCCCTTTAAACCAATAACACCTTGGAGAATCATAATCAGCTTAACCATGAACATCACCCCAATTTTTCCATGGTTTTTTCTCCACCCCAGACTTGGTCTAGGTCAGCAGTTGTTGCAACAGCAGCTGGCCGCATCGGCTGCCTCCGATCCAAAAGCTGCAGGGTTGCTGCAGCAACAGCTGGCTGCTTCCTTATTGGCACAACGTGATCCCCACGGCCAGTTGGCGGCGGCGGCGGCACTGGCGGCAACACAAGGCGGTTAACGATTTTTGTTTTGATTTTTGGCAGCAAATGGTGGTTTAACCACCAAACATTGGCATTTCTGTTTGGTTTTTGTTATTGGATCAACAAGGCTAATCCACTGAGGTTTGACGGTCAATCTGAACATCCTGTCCAAAAGTAATTGAATGCTAAAACCCCGTTTTACTCTTAAATCGTAATTGGTGCATCATTTTTCTCCATGGTTCACCATGTTTTCACCATTGTTCACTATTTTTGTCGCAAAAATTGTCAGTTTCTATGGTGGAAGCCTTTGATGACACCACTTTTGATTGTTAACCCACCATTTTTTTGCCAGGTGTTTCTTGATTTCCCCCCTCATCCATGCAAGGTGGTGCCACCCAGTTATGTTTGTTGGTTTATTGGTTTATGTTACCACCAATAATTCATTGGATATCCCCCAGCAGTTGTTGGAGTTGTGTAGATCCTAACTTCGCCATGTGTGAAACTGGGGTATACCCCCATGAAATAGAAATCTTAACAGCGAAAATGTTGGTAAACTGTTATATTTTCGGGTACCCTATTATACGACCCTATTTCAAAACAAACCTAGATAAGCATGGGGATTGACATGACAAAAAAAAACGATGAATTTCAGTGATTTTATCCAAGCAATGGGGGTTAATTTTATAGGGATATAGGTGATCAGGATTGTTGTTGAGCTGATCTTGATCAGTTTGTGCAACTATGTGCAACCCACTTTGTTGACCTCGTGTCCTGTCAGGACATCACTATATACCCCCATGAAACTATGGCCTTAAAGCATCAACTTAAATGATTTATAGCTTAAATTGTCCAGATGGTTGGCTGCGGATGATGCATTTCCCTAGAGTCGTAGAGCTTTTCTAGAGTTGCCAGCAAGAATCAAGGAAAACGCAAGTTTGATATTCCTCAGAACTTCAAAATTTTAATCAGTCTGAAAATGCAGTACCCCAACTTACACCCATCTAACTCATTTAATGGGGAAAACATAAACAATGATAAAGCATGATAAACCACTGGATGTTATCGTCGGTTTATCATTTCAACCAGATAAAATTGTATAAACTCAACCACGATCAACCATTGGATGTGCCAAATACCATGTGATTTATCATACCGGACCATTGACCCGTGGCGTATCATGGTTTATCATGGCTTCTAATACCAGATGGAAACGATGAAAGCCATGGTCATCCATGGTCTATATTTACCATCAAATGCGATAACTATGACAACTCATGGTGTACCATATGTGTACCATGATTGATTAACCCGTGGTTGATCATGGCATCGCAGGCTACGGGGCACAGGCGCACCGTTCACCAATGGGTAAAACTTGCTTTAACAGAGATATGGATGGGGATAAAATGGGAATTTTTGAGACCAGCTTGATACCCTCTGGTAATTTAACGTAGCTATTGAAAATCACCATTTATAGTGGATTTTCCCATTGAAAATGGTGGATCTTTCCATAGCTATGTTAGTTTACCAGCTTGATAATGGAATACAATGGACACACGCGTTTTTTATCCCTTCCCCCATTCAGTCATTAAACACCTTTTTTTTGTCCCCAAGATGTGGCTGCATCCCCTAGAAAAAACCCATGGGTTTCTGGGGCTTGTTCTCTCCATGGATCACCGCTGGCAGCCACTTGTTTGGATGGCCCGATGTCTTATGACTGGTTGGTGGGGTTCATTTGTTACAAATGATGAAAATCGAATTGTGGATTTTCTTCACTCGGCCCACTGGTAAAGAAAAGGAGAATACACCACATTAGGATTCTCAATTGAATTGATCTGGCGGATCAATTATACCATACATAATATATGGATCTTTCTGGCGGTCACCACTTTTATTTGGATTCTAAAAACCAGACATTTCTGTGGGGTGGTTTCACCACCAGACCCAGGATTTGTATCACGAGTTGCCAAGCTGATTTCAATGGGAAAAAGCATCTGTAAAATCAGCAGACAGATTCTCTGAGCCCAGGAGAAAATCCTGGAACTCGACTTTTTTTTATTTTTTTTGGGCGTCATCCTGGAGTACCCTCTGGGAATCAAACGTGGCAACGATCTATAAATGATGGTTTTTTTGGGAAAATCATCTATAAATGGTGGAACATGGTGGAAACAACTGGAGGGTAGGTAGAGTACATTCCTCAGTTTGTTTCACTCTTCAGATGATTTTGTTGTTGGGAGTGGACAGAATCTCATGGTGTTTCTCTCTTCTAGGATACAACATGGTGGTACACCAAATTTAGCGAAGTTTGCTTATAGCTCCAAAAACTAGGGATATCTGAATAACTCGCGTTTATGGTAGATATATCAACAAAGACATCATGGGGCTTTTGTTTTTTCAAAATGCCATGGGGGAGCAGCTATGGCAGGCGTCGGCTGCGTCGGCCGCTTCCGCGGCATCAAGGTTGGCCGCTATGAGTGCTGAGCAGGAAAGGCAGAGACAATTGGCTGCGTCACTTGCTTCACCAAGAGGATGATGCCAGTGAAGAAAAAGGTATCATAAGAACATCTCCAGTCACCACAGGTTTCAATACTAAGTCATGATCTAACTGGATGATTGGGGAATATCATCATTTTAAGAAACTTTCATATAAAACGCATAGTTTTGATGGGTTATATCCCAACTCATGTGGGATGGTCCCATAGTTTTAGCCCTGGATGTTCATCCGCGCAGGGGCACACCACTGGGTTTGATCCTTCCCCATGTTATGGTCATAGAACTGGATGATGGGAAAATTTTAACCGGAAACCCCTATATTTGATGGCAAAAACCATGGTTTCCGGTTAAGATTTTCCCTTAAACCAATCCATTGATATGGGGATTTTTTAGAAAACGAGCTGGCAGGGATTTAACTTCTAAGAGGATACTTGGATATACTTGGGATAACTGGGAAAACTAACTGGAACAGCAGCTGATCAATCATGGGCTGTGATAACATAAGCCAACCAAGACAGGCATATCAATAAAAAATCACGACAGATATAGAGGAACCATAGATTATGGTTTTTAAATGTTTGTAAATGTCAAATAATATGTCAATGACAAGAGATGGTGCATGCTGTTGGCTGGTATTGCCTGTTGGCTGTTGTGAAATATCAAAGACATTAAAAGTGATGATAGTGATGATACAGCCAGTAAAATTTGACATGGAACCCACCATTTTATTGGTTTCAGAACATGATTTTCTGATTGGTTGTAGCCATTTTTGGGTCCTATGTTAAATTGAGGAGGTGTAATCAATGATAATAAGATGATGATATGGGTGTGGCTGATGTTCAGGATTCTGCCGCGGCATCTAGCTCCACGCAAGTGGAAGCCTCATCCAGCGCAGCACCGGCACCGTTCCGTACTCCGGAACCGCCAACACCGAAGAGCAGTCCACGGCCATTTCTGGAGCCTGAACGTCCAACGTCGAAGGCATCCAGCTCAGGTCGCCCTGATGCTTCTTGGAGTTGGAACAGGGATCACTATGGAGCTCGTCGTGAGTGGAGTTGGTGGCGAGGTGCCTGGTACTACAGGGATGAGGCCGGTGGTCGATGGATCCTGTGGAACCGTTAGGTTTAGATGATGTAGCATTTTGCGAGATGTGGCATGGTATTGTGCCTTCCGTTGCACTGCGATGTGGGTTTTCAGGCTTGAGCTTTTTAAAGGGGCTTGTATATACGGCAAATAAGTAGACTAAAAGCCATGTAAAAACAAACCGGCTGCCCGTGAGGGTGAGCTCAAATATATGTACAGTCTCGCCGTAGCCCAGCTCGCCTGAGGGTGGTGTGAAAACTCCTGCAGTAAAACCCTATGTTCTATATACATCATCTGACTGTGCGTCGCGTTGGTTCAAAAGGACTAGCAGCTTAGCGGCTATTGTGGTATTTACTCATTGTTGGCTGACCTGGGAATATACATAACCTTACAACCAAGAAATATTTTTATTATAGTAATTACTATAAACATACTGTGGATGGAAGAAATCCTGCACCACCAAGCGGATGGTTGTGAAACCCTAAAAATGGTGGGATGTTTGCCACCTATCAACTGGTGCAGGATTTCACAACCATCCACCATATTTTGACAATGTTGGCTGGTTATAGAAATACCAACTGTCCCATTGATATCTACTTGTATTGTTTGAACCCCCATCCCATCAGTGTTGGTTTATCTCCCGATTGTATCCCTACCGTAGCACCAATAGTGGGATGAACCAATAGTAATAACCTAATAACCAGGACTTTTTAATTTTATCTCCCAGCAATTGCTACAAAATCATTTTACGGTATCTAGTGATCTCCAAGTGACAGTAAGTGCCACCAACGAGGTTGGAAGAGCAACGGCGTTTGGAGCGGAGTGCTGCTACAGGTGACCATCAGTGATGACCATGATGTTCACCATGGTTAAGTATAGATATTTCATATTGTATCCACAATATAGACAAAAATATCTATTGTGTAACGACAGATATAATATAATATGTAACTATAGATATTATGAAGTATAGATATTTGGGGGTTTCCTAAAATGGGGTTACCCCAATAGCTGGATGGTTTATTTCATGGAAAATGCCATCTATAACTGGATGATGACTGGGGGTACCCCTATTTCAGGAAACCTCCATTTCATAATAGATCCACCACAGCTGCCTAATATGTAAATATAGATGAACAATATCATATGTAACTATAGTACATCTATATATAATCATAATATTTCATAGATGTCCATAGATAGATCTATAGATATGCTGTGGGATTTTCATGATATATCAGTTAGCTATCAATTGTAGATGTTCATCATAGTTGGCATGGTTTTTGGAGGAATCAAAGATCCATGTTATCTATCAAAGATCACGGGATGAGGTTGTGATTTATAGTTTTGAAAAAAGACAATGTTAATGGGATAATGGGATACTATATTACTGCGATAATAGGATATTAATGGATTATCTTCTGAATGGTTGTAATGGATAATCATGGGATACTAGTGAAATAATGGTTGCACTATTCATTGTTAGAACGGCTGTAATATAATGGGGTAATATTTTTTGTAATAATGGAATATGAATGGAATATTCCTGTAGAATAATTGGTTGGTAAACATCATGAGATGATAGTGATTTATCAAAGGAAGTTGGGAAGCAATACTTCCGTGTTACGGACAAATAGAATTCTGAGATTTGAAATGATGAAGGGTGGTGCGCGATTGAGAGATTGACCTTGATGAAGGGTGGTGTGAGACTTTACATGACATAACAATACATCAGAAAAGAATTGACCTTGATGAAGGGTGGTGTGAGACATTACATTACATAACAATACATAACAAAAAGATTGACCTTGATGAAGGGTGGTGTGAGACTTTGCATTACATAACAATACATCACAAAAGGATTGACCTTGATGAAGGGTGGTGTGCGACTGTACATTCAAGTGGCAGATCGCATTGGAATGGCTGCATGAATGTTGCACGGGCTTTGTGTTGGGGAGGAAGCCGGAGCACGAAACCTTGTGTTTTTCCGTGTAAAGTGGCTGCAGCCGGCGATGAAAGGTACCTCGGCTGTGCGGCGGTTGCGGCTGCGGTTGTTTCTGTCGCGAATTGTTCCTCCTATGTGTTTTGCAACGAGTGGTTGTTCCTGTGTGCATAGTTCTATGCGTTTCTTGAAGCTGTGGTAGCAGATCGCATTGGAATGGCTGCATGATGTTGCATGGGCTTTGTGTTGGGGAGGAAGCCGGAGCACGAAACCTTGTGTTTTTCCGTGTAAAGTGGCTGCAGCCGGCGAGGAAAGGTACCTCGTCTGTGCGGCGGTTGCGGCTGCGGTCGTTTCTGTCGCGAATTGTTCCTCCTATGTGTTTTGCAACGAGTGTTTGTTCCTGTGTGCGTAGTTCTATGCGTTTCTTGAAGCTGTGGTTGCAGATCGCATTGGAATGGCTGCATGATGTTGCATGGGCTTTGTGTTGGGGAGGAAGCCGGAGCACGAAACCTTGTGTTTTTCCGTGTAAAGTGGCTGCAGCCGGCGATGAAAGGTACCTCGTCTGTGCGGCGGTTGCGGCTGCGGTCGTTTCTGTCGCGAATTGTTCCTCCTATGTGTTTTGCAGCGAGTGGTTGTTCCTGTGTGCGTAGTTCTATGCGTTTCTTGAAGCTGTGGTGGCAGATCGCATTGGAATGGCTGCATGATGTTGCATGGGCTTTGTGTTGGGGAGGAAGCCGGAGTACGAAACCTTGTGTTTTTCCGTGTAAAGTGGCTGCAGCCGGCGATGAAAGGTACCTCGTCTGTGCGGCGGTTGCGGCTGCGGTCGTTTCTGTCGCGAATTGTTCCTCCTATGTGTTTTGCAACGAGTGGTTGTTCCTGTGTGCGTAGTTCTATGCGGTTCTTGAATCTCTGGTTGCAGATTGCATTGGAATCGCTGCTTCATTGTCGTCATTTGATGTTGCCACGTGCGTAGATAGGTGCGGGTTTGCCACGGGATGTTGCGAAACGCATTGTAATGGCTGCATGAATGTTGCATGGGCTATGTGTTGGGGAGGAAGCCGGAGCACGAAACCTTGTGTTTTTCCGTGTAAAGTGGCTGCAGCCGGCGATGAAAGGTACCTCGTCTGTGCGGCGGTTGCGGCTGCGGTCGTTTTGTGCGCGAATTGTTCCTCCTATGTGTTTTGCAACGAGTGGTTGTGTCTGCGTGCGTAGTTCCATGCGGTTCTTGAATCTCTAGTTGCAGATTGCACTGGAATGGCTGCTTCATTGTCGTCATTTGATGTTGCCACGTCCGTAGATAGGTGCAGGTTTGCTACGGGATGCTGCGACACGCATTGTAGTGGCTGGGTCAAGGTTGCTCGGTGCTGCGGCTGCATGCGCAATACGATTGTCTTTTGCAGCTGAAGATCGTAAATCGTATTGGAATGGCTGCATCAAGGCTGCGAAAGTGAATTGTCAGCAGATTTTCGCAATTTTGGCGCTAATAATTTTCCTTTTAAAATTCCTTTTCAAAAGTGCTTCAAAATCGTCTTTTTGTCGCTTTGGCGTCGAGATCCGGTTTTGGAGCTGCAATTTCCGACACCGTTGCGGGCAGTTCTTTTGTGTTTTCCAACTCAGTCTCTGCAGATCGCATTGTAGTGGCTGCGTCAAGGTTGCTTGGCGCAGCGGCTGCATGCGTAATACTATTGTCTTTTGCAGCTGAAGATCGTAAATCGTATTGGAATGGCTGCATCAAGGCTGCGAAAGTGATTTGTCAGCAGATTTTCTCAATTTTGGCGCTAATAATTTTCCTTTTGAAATTCCTTTTAAAAAGTGTTTCAAAATCGTCTTTTTGTGGCTTTGGCGTCGAGATCCGGTTTTGGAGCTGCAATTTCCGACGCCAGTGCACGTAGTTCTATTGTGTTTTGCAACTCAGTCTCTGCAGATCGCATTGTAGTGGCTGCGTCAAGGTTGCTCGGTGCCGCGGCTGCATGCGTAATGCTATTGTCTTTTGCAGCTGAACATTGTAAATCGTATTGGAGTGGCTGCATCCAGGCTGCGAGATTGATTTGTCAGCAGATTTTCGCAATTTTGGCGCTAGTCATTGTCCTTTTAAAATCCTTTTAAAAAGTGCTTCAAAATCGTCTTTTTGTCGCTTTGGCGTCGAGATCCATTCGGTTTTGGAGCTGCAATTTCCGACGCCATCGCACGTAGTTCTATTGTGTTTTGCAACTCAGTCTCTGCAGATCGCATTGTAGTGGCTGCGTCAAGGTTGCTTGGTGCAGCGGCTGCATGCGTAATACTATTCTCTCTTTTGCAGCTGAAGATCGTAAATCGTATTGGAATGGCTGCATCAAGGCTGCGAAAGTGATTTGTCAGCAGATTTTCTCAATTTTGGCGCTAATAATTTTCCTTTTAAAATTCCTTTTAAAAAGTGCTTCAAAATCGTCTTTTTGTCGCTTTGGCGTCGAGATCCAGTTTTGGAGCTGCAATTCCTGTTGTGATTATGTACAAGAAAGCTTCTCTGTGCAAAAAAATTTTCTGTAAAAGCGTGCTGTGTGTAAAAGCTTCTCTTTGTGTAAAAGCGTCTCTGTGTAAAAGTTTCTGTGTGTGTAAACGCTTGCCATGTGTAAAAGCACTGTGCGTAAGTGTTCTGTGTGTAAACGCTTGCTGTGTGTGAAAGCTTGCTGTGTGTAAAAGCTTCTCTGTGTAAAAGCTTGTTGTGTGTAAATGCTTCTCTGTTTAAAAAGCTTGCTGTGTGTGTGTAAACGCTTGCCATGTGTAAAAGCACTGTGTGTAAGTGTTCTGTGTGTAAACGCCCGCTGTGTGTGAAAGCTTGCTGTGTGTAAAAGCCTCTCTGTGAAGAAGCTTGCTGTGTGTGAAAGCTTGCTGTGTAAAGCTTCTCTGTGTAAAAGCTTGTTGTGTGTAAAAGCTTCTCTGTTTAAAAAGCTTGCTGTGTGTGTAAACGCTTGCCATGTGTAAAAGCACTGTGTGGTGTGTAAAAGCTTGCTGTGTGTAAAAGCCTCTCTGTGTGTAAAAGCGTCTCTGTGCAAAAGTTTCTGTGTGTAAACGCTTGCCATGTGTAAAAGCACTGTGTGTAAGTGTTCTGTGTGTAAACGCTTGCTGTGTGTGAAAGCTTCTCTGTGAAGAAGCTTGTTGTGTGTAAAAGCTTCTGTGTGTAAAAGCTTCTCTGCTTGAGAAGCTTGCTGTGTGTAAAAGCTTCTCTGCGAAAGAACTTGATGTGTGTAGAAGCTTTGGAGTACAAAGTAGTACTGGAACGTGTTTTGTGCAAGCTTTGTAATACAAAGTAGTACTGGGAAGTAGTTTGTGCAAGCTTTGTAGTACAAAGTAGTACTGGGGAGTGCTTTGTGCAAGCTTTGTAGTGCAAAGTAGTACTGGGAAGTAGTTTGTGCAAGCTTTGTAGTACAAAGTAGTACTGGGAAGTAGTTTGTGCAAGCTTTGTAGTACAAAGTAGTACTGGGGAGTGTTTTGTGCAAGCTATGTAGTACAAAGTAGTACTGGGAAGTGGTTTTTGCAAGCTTTTGTATTAGACATCAGTACTGGGAAGTACTTGACATAAAAATAGCCAAGAAGAACTTAGCTGACATATGGGAAGGCATGGGATGAGATGAGAAGAGCTCAGATGAGATGAGTTGAGACGAAGTGCAAGTGTGAAGTGTGGAGTGTGGGGTGTGAAGAGTGCAATGTGAAGTGTGAGGATAGTGTTTGCATTGTACCGGGGACGCGTGCAGGTCATGTTCTTGGACAACAACATTGCAACAGCTTCGCACAAAGCACGCACGCACAGGCCTGGCTGGCGCACTGCGCATGCAAGTTCCTTTCTAGTAGTATTGGGAAGTCATTCATGAAAGCTTAGATGACATATGAGAAGAGATGAGATGAGAAGAGCTGAGCTGGGATAAGGTGCGAAGAGCTCAGATGAGATGAAGTGTGGGGTGTGAAGAGTGCAGTGTGAAGTGTTAAGTGTGAAGTTTGGAGTGTGAAGGAAGCAGTGAGAAGTGAGAAGTGTGAAGTGTGGACTGTGAAGTGTGAAGTTTGGAGTGCGAAGAGTGCAGTGTGAAGTGTGGAGTGTGAAGTGTGAAGTGTGGAGTCTTAAGAGTACAGTGTGAAGTGAAGTGTTGACTGCGAAGGGTGCAGTGTGAAGAGTGCAGTGTGAAGGGTGGAGTGTGAAGTGTGCAGTGTGGAGTGTGAAGACTGCAGTGAGAAGTGCGAAGTGCGAAGTGGAGCTTCAAATGTGACATGTGAAACGAGACACCACTTTCGCAGAGTGCACGCACGCACGGGCTTGGCTGGCGCACGGCGCATGCAAGTTCTATAGATGAGAAAGGTCTTATATATATTTTTAAGGCAACTTCCGCCCCGCCTCGTGCGGGTACTACTGGTACTGGGATATTAATGGTATATTCATAGATAACAATGGAATAGTAGTGGGAGAACAATGGGATATTGATGGATTTACCCTCTAGGAGTCGTGGCTGGCCGTGAAATCCTACACATGCAGTTTTAGTTCGCTGGGAACAATCATCGAACTAGTTCAATGGGAGATTTTGCACCAAACCATGTTTGATTACCGGGAAGTTAACTATCAAAAGTCCAGGGCTAACCATGAAAAATTGGGCCAACCCTGAAAAACGAAAGATTTGCCATGTAGATTTTGGTGAGCGTACGTGATAGAAAAGGAACTTCATTGGATTTACCCCACAAGGTTGAAGGTCTACATAATCGTCAAACATAGGGGGTGATATGGTTTAACCGGCTTGAAATGGTGATCTAATTTTTGTTTACCCCCAAAAGATTCAGAAACAAATGGAGCTTTTGAGGCTGTTTTATATAGATAGTCAGAATAATCATGATGATGATGGTGATACGAATGATCATCACCATTCCGACAATGAAAACGGTGGTTAGTTGAGGTGGCAGAACTGCAAAATTTGCACCTGTATCGTCGTACAAACATAGGGTATACGGATATATCCTGAAAGGGCCAGTGTTACTGGAAAAATAGGGTGCACCATCAAATTTTGGAAGTACCCCATTGACAAACACACCCAGATCAAGAAACATGGCAGGTGATTTTCCAACTGTCAAAACATGTCGTATCTCCTGTTGTGAATCGGATAGCTCGGGGACTTCCAGCTCATTATATAATCGTCATCACATGGCCATCTATCCACAACTCCGATGTATTTTTTTTTCGGGAAATCATTGAATGTTGGTAGTGTGTAGATAGATTAGATAGATAGATAGATAGATAGATAGATAGATAGATAGATAGATAGATAGATAGATAGATAGATAGATAGATAGATAGATAATTACATAGATAGATAGATAGATAGATAGATAGATAGATAGATAATTACATAGATAGATAATTAGATAGATAGATAGATAGATAGATAGATAATTACATAGATAGATAGATAGATAGATAGATAGGTAGGTAGATAGATAGATAGATTAGATAGATTAGATACATTAGTTTGATTAGATAGATTAGATAGATTAGATAGATTAGATAGATTAGATAGATTAGATAGATTAGATAGATTAGATAGATTGATTGATTGATTGATTGATAGATTGATAGATTGATAGATAGAAAGAAAGATAGATAGATAGATAGAAAGATATAGATAGATAGATAGATTAGATTAGATTTGATTTGATTAGATTAGATAGATAGATAGATAGATAGACAGATAGATAGATAGATAGATTAGATAGATTAGATAGATTAGATAGATTAGATAGATTAGATAGATTAGATAGATTAGATAGATTAGACAGATTAGATAGATTAGATAGATTAGATAGACAGATAGATAGATAGATAGATAGATAAAAAGATGGAAAGATAGATAGATAGATTGATAGATAGATAGATAGATTGATAGATTGATAGATTGATAGATTAGATAGATAGATAGATAGATCGAAAGATAGAAAGAAAGAAAGAAAGAAAGATAGATAGATAGAAAGAAAGATAATTACATAGATAGATAGATAGATAGATAGATAGGTAGGTAGGTAGATAGATAGATAGATAGATTAGATAGATTAGATAGACTAGATAGATTAGATAAATTAGTTAGATTAGATAGATTAGATAGATTAGATAGATTAGATAGATTAGATAGATTAGATAGATTAGATAGATTAGATAAATTAGATAGATAGATAGATAGACAGATAGATAGATAGATAGAAAGATGGAAAGATAGATAGATAGATAGATAGAAAGATAAATAGATAGATAGTTAGATAGATAGATAGACAGACAGACAGATCGATTGATTGATTTGTTTTTATATGTTTTTTATTCAATCAGACTTTACATTACATACAGACATACACAGATATAATGATATAAACAATAATGATAATGACATCCGCCAGGTGCGGACAAGCAGCTGGGGTACCCAGTGAAGCGCGATGCGCGCATCGCGATGCGCATCGCGCAGCGAAATCCCGGGAGGGACAGGGTGATTTTATTCCAGCGAAGCGTTGGAGAAGATTTGGAGACTAATAGCGGTTAATAGTGGTTAATAATGATTAATAGTGATTAATAGTGGTTAATAGAAAGTTAATAATGATTAATAGTGGTTCATAATGATTAATAGTGGTTAATATTTGTATTACTCATGATAGTTAATAGTGGTTAATAGAAAGAAATAGTTAATGCTTAAATATTTACCAATAGTTAACCATTGGAGAAGTTAATAGTGGTTAATAGGGACCAAAAAATGTTAATAGTGGGAAACATCAGTCTAAAAATGGAGTTATTCTAACAAATGTCTTGTACTTGTTTCTTTACCATTCAATAGTTAATTAAGTCTGATGTAATATCAGTGGATTGCTGTTTGAATATATACTTGACTACCCTATAATACCCCTCTTCGAAGGCTTAATGTAATATGAAACTACCTGGTTTACTGGGGATTCATGACGAATCCAATAATAATTAAGGGGATACCATTCTTAACCAGCCAGTATTTTATGATTTTTTTTTGGATGGGACCCGGAGATTTTGGATGGTCATAGCTCCATTGTTTCAATGGGACTTTTCCTAACATCCACAGCATCCAGATTTCAGGATTCCCATCGATGCAGGACCATGATTGCCATAAGCCATACACAATGGACCATGGTTCAAATGTTACACAAACCGATATATGGTGACTAATGACATATAAAAACATACATGTTACAATCAATCTAGTCGCATACTCAATGGTTGTAAATTCATTGTTTAATACACGGTTGTAAATCCAAAATCCCAAATCCAGAACGTTTCTTTGATTTTGAAGGAAATCATAACGTGACATGGTCAACACGGGCGAAACAAACTCAAGCAGTTCGAGGGGAAACAAAATTCAATAGGTCCGAAATTTTCAGTGGAAGAACATCGAAACGAATCGAACAATCAAAACCTAATGATGTTTTTGAATGAAAGTGATGCAATTGTGTTTGAAAAATGAATCCACGTTTGCTAAACCATTCTCCATCCATTTCTTTAAGGTACAATTTTTGACCCTTATGGGGGCAGACACGCATGAAATATCGAGGCGAAGATGTCCGACCCACGGTTGGCAGTATATTGATCCTAAGAAGCTGGGCCTTGTGTCGGGTTCCGGGCACAACGGGAAGAGGGGATGAAAATTTGGTGCAGGAATCGAGGTGATTTGATGGGTGCTTATCCAATAAGCTGAGGATTTTGGCTACAAAACTGAATATGAAAAGGGAAATCATAGGTCAGAAATGAATATGGGATATATATGGGATATATGGGATATGGATGGACATGGGTCAAAAATTGTCAGCCCCCAAATTTTGTTGGTTTTGAGACCAACATGACGAATTTTGTGGCATCAGACTCTAAGAGACCTCTGAGCATTGAAAAGGGATGAATATTGCTGGCTTGAAAATTGGGGTGCGATAGAAAACCCGTGAAAAACATCTGTACCATCTGTTTTTTAAACCAAGCAAGGTGGGATTTATGGGTGGCACCTTGTGGATTCAAAAGTGATGTTTGGAATCGCCACACATTTGCCCTAAGGAACAACATCCAGGGACCCTTTTCCTTGCAGGAAATGTGCCTGGGATATACTGGATGTGGCGACGGAAAGGAGGATCCAACCCTAAAATGATGAAGTGACCTTAAATCATGAAAAAAGTTGATTTCAAACCATCAAACATGGGAATTTGAGAGGTTTCTACTTGGGATATGATGGGTTTCTATCTTTCATCCATTTCCACTTGGAGGTTTCTATCCAAGTGGTTTAGCCTCCAGAAATTTGTATGCCTTTTGAAGTTGGAAACCTGGAACGACTCCCGTGGCCCGCCACGAAGGTTGCAGTGGCATCGAATGGGCTTCTTTCAACAAGATCTGCGCATGAGGCCGTGTGCTTGGCATAGCCATGGCTCTTTTTTGACCCCAAATTGAAAAAAGGTGCAGTTTAGCACAGCACGATTGGTTCCATGTCTACCAAATCTACCATCTTGAAGCCATGGTGACGCCGGTTCCCCCAGTAGCTTTCCGTGTTTCCAAAGATATGGGGAAAACCCCAAAGTCCCACGTGGTGATTGTCATTCTACCGATGATTTTATAGCGACTAGCCATTTTTGACCCCAATTTTCAGATACACCATTGTTAACTGATGAATCTCCATTGGTGAGGATTAATCGAACAATTTTCCCGCTTAGAATCCCCATTGGTTGGGCAAATCCCATAATTCTCCCATCAAATCGCCATTATTCTTGAGCTCAATACAATTTTTTTCAGGATTAAATACCATGTTTTTTGCAATTTCGGAGAGTTCAATTCCACATGTTCAGGTTATTTCTACTGTGTTTTTTTTCAATCTTTCATCATTGATCCCAACCGGGTTTAAAGACCCCTCGAAACCATGGTTTATGGTTTACTATGTTTAGTAAGGGGATAACACATGTTTGGGACCATTTGGAGGATGTTTAATCTTAATATATGTTAATAGAAAGGAGGATTTTTCATGTCACGCCAGGTGTGATCCAGCCGACAAGTTCATCCCTCTGAAAGAGTTGTTTCCAGCTGGCAGCGTCCCCTTTGAGAGCTACCCAAGGTGGGACTGCTTGACCCCCAAAAACATGGGAGGCGCCAAAAAATCTTGGGGAAAACCAGCGAAAATTTTGGTTGAAAAAATATAGATTAACTCTACTGTTGTTTTTTTGTATGAAGACTGATATTAGGAAAAGTCACCCAAATCCAATGGTTCTAGTGGTTTAAGACCCAATTTTCCGAGGTTGACATAGAAGCAATTTTCGGGGGGGACATCTTATTTTCAGACAGCCACTTGGACGGGCTGAGATGTGAGCTTTACCACTGATTTTGTCGGTAGGTTGATGTGGAAATTTGTTGTTGCTTCGTGCTAGTGATTTGTTCGTTTTGGGATCCATATGGGGACTGGGGGATATTTCATAGATTTAATATCAGGGGGATTGGGCTAATTAAATGATTGTAACTGTAGAGGAATTCACCACCACCCCAAAACGATTCGAGCGCCGGATGGCTAGGCGGGTCGCTGGCAATGGCTACGTCCGGTACTCAGATGAACTCAGAGAACGTCGCATGGATCATGGGTTCCTCACCATTGCCCCTTTGTAAATCATCTCCAAGTAGTTGTTTACCTACCCTCTGGTAAACTAACATAGTGTAACATAGCTATTGAAAATGGCCATTTATAGTGGATTTACCCATAAAAAATGGTGATTTTCCATGGTTACGTTAGTTTACCAGAGGGTAATCACCAGAAATTTGTGGATCTCCCCTATTATTGAGATGATGGGGATGATGAGGATGATATTTTTATGTTGCCTATCCATTGGGAATCTTTGACATGGCCCGACATGGCAATGGAACGTGTCCTCTGCAGATTCGAAATCATAGGAATCTGCAGAATCCACTGATTTTGTGGAGAGGTGGTAAGCACTAAGGGTCACCACTGACCATTTTCCTTCATGTCAAGAATTGGGGGGTAGAAGATTGGACCTGCTGACTCCATGACAAGGCCCTCCGTTCAAAGGAGATCTACAATTTTTCAATCCAATTGACTTCCCATTCATGATTATATTTTGAGTGGTTTTCCCATCCACTTGGAAGTGGATTTGGCCTCGCTGTGCAATTGTCCTGATTTCATCATCTTTCCCGCTAGTTGGGTCCAGTGCTTGACCGGTGACAGCTCCACAATTTTCCTGAGATTTGGTGGTTGATGCTTGATGGTTGTTGGTTGTTGATGGCTATTTCTGGCTATGTTTGGCTATTGAAATCACCAACCCCAGCCACTTAGCCACAGCAGAACAAATCTCACCCCAGCCGCCCTGCCTAGCGCAGGCATGAGCCAAGCATCCGCTGGCCGTGGCATCGACATGGCGGAAGTGTCCAAACATGAAGGGTGCCCCAATTTATCCTGCATGGATCGACCAACATGATGAGCTTAACAATCCAGTTACATATGTATATGTGAGTTTCGTAACTTGCTGCTGCCGCATACACCTTCGATTGTTTCCTGTCAGGGGAAAGCACATTCATTATGTGCCTTTTGACTCGTGGCTCAAGGCCAATTTCAGCGAGATAGGGGAAAAATCTCGAGTGCCGCCATAGGATTGGTTGGAAGGTGAAGAGTGGACTCTTTTGGGATTTGGTTGGATAGATATACATTTTTGGTGTTGTGGACAACACTGTTGGAACGACTTTACTTTGGTTGAACATCAACTACTTTCTGGTGATCAAGGAGGACCTTGAACCATTCAGGTGGGAACCGTTATCAGTGGCGTTGCGATCTACGATCCAACGACACTGGTAGCGGAGCCTAGAGGCTCGTGCTACTTGCACGCAAAGCCGGCCCGCTAGTTTTGTGGCTTCTGGATAGTGAGCAATGCCTCCTAAAGAGTCTGCCTCAACTGATGGAAACGGTGACTCCCAGCAGGGTTCCAATTTTTGGAATTTGCTGCCCAGTTTTGACCCGAGTGAAGATGACATACGAGAGTTTTCACAGAAAGCCAGGTTCATCCACGGTGTCATGCCCGAGAAGGACAAGCCCAACTTAGCTCCCAGGTTAGCTATGTTGTGTAAAGGGACAGCTTGGTCCCAGGTGCGTCAGTTAGATCCGAAGAAGCTCACCAAGGCCGACTCAGGTGTTGAATACTTGTTGGCCGCTTTGTCAGCTTGGGAAGAAACATCAGAGATGAAAACGTATGAACTGTTTGAACGAGCACTCTACAAGGTAGTACAGAAGTCTGATGAGGCCTCCCATAGTTTCTCACTTCGCCTTCAAGCTGCATTCAATGAGATAGGTGATGATGTCACTGTCAAACAAATGCAAGCCTTCGTGATGTTGAGACAGTCAGGTTTGTCGTCTGAAGACAAAAAGAAAATCCTGACGATGACAGGTGGTAAGCTGGATCTGACCGCAGTTGACCAAGCCATGAGGTCGTTGTCCACACGTGTGTTGATGGGCCCTGGTGAAACCAAGAAAAAGATTTACCCAATCAATTTCACAGAGGTGGAAGAGCCACCTGCCCAATCTGATGAAAGCCTTCCGGTTCAGAGCACTTACGTTGCATACCATGAGGAAGAGGATGTTTTGACAACCGAGCATCTGGAATACCGAGTGTCTCAGGGAGATGAGGATGCCAACGTAGTGCAACAGTTTGAGCGTGATTCGAAGAGATGCTGCAAGAGATTCCTGATATGCAACAAGCAATGGTCTCATACAATGAGGCTAGGCAGAGGATCAATGATCGCCGTCGTAGCCGAGGGTTTTGGCCCACTGGAAAAGGAAAAGGGAAAGGTGGGTTCAAAGATGGATCCCGGCCATACCGCAAAGGTGGTGGAAAGTCTGGAAAAGAAGAGTTGCTGGCTCGCATTGCGAAAACGCATTGCAAGCTTTGCGGTGCCCTTGGGCATTGGCGTGCAGAATGCCCTCAGAGGAAAGAAACCCGTGAGTCAGCCAACGTTGCCTTCTCCATGCCATCCGAAGCATCCGATGCCGAAGAGGAGACCAACCAAGTGGTCTTTGAAGCGTTGAGTGAACAGGAGTGCATCCGTTGTGAAACCTGTTTCGTTGCCTCATGCCACCGAAATTCAGTTTTGTGCAAACAAAATGTTGAAGACGTGAAAGCCTTTTGGGGTAAGAAACTGGATAAGCCGGGGTATAAGCGGGGTAATAAAGGGGTTATTGGGTATAATGGGGTAACAAAGAATTGTGGTCCGGAGAATGTTCTGAAACCAGAAGTGGTGACCACAGCACTCCACACCCATGCCGCCAGGAAGATGCATCCGAGACCAACCAATAGAGCCGATGGTTTTGTCAGCCAGAATCACTCAGATGCCATGCAAAGTCAAGGAATGGCCATACTGGACACAGGTGCCAGTCGCAGTGTGATCGGACAAGACCATGTCCCCGCGATGCTCCAAAAACTGCCAGCCAGTGTCCGTGACCAAGTCGTGGAAAAGCCCAGTAGAGTAGGATTCCGTTTTGGAAATAACCAAGTTGCATATAGCTACAAACAGCTGCGCATACCATTGGTCCACAAGAGAATCCGAATCTGGTTGCTAATTGAAGTAGTGCCGAAGGCCACACCTTTCCTGCTGTCTATTAAGACCATGAAGAGTTTAGGAGCCATGATAGACCTAGGACAAAATACATGTTTCCTCAAGACACTGCAAAGGTCACTGTATTTGAAAGAAAACAAGAATGGGTTGTTCATGATTGACATGTCCGATCTTTGTCAACCTGATGTCAAGTCCAATGCAGCAGCTTTTGTCGCATCAAGTGTCTGTGCCCCGCCTCCAGGTCTGGAAAGTGAGATTCCTGTCAGTCATGCCGACACGCCAGGAAGTGCTCGATGCTCTTCGCACAGTGGCAGAGGAAGTGTTAGCCAGTCTGAAGCTCCTGATGACCATTGTGTTCACCATGACCAGTGCGATCGACCCGAACCAGGAAGCCACGGAGCTCCAGATGAATCCGGTGAATCAGCTGATTCACGAAGTGGCCCAACAACGTCGGACAATCGATCAGTTGGGGAATCTGATTCAAGCTCAGTTCCAACAGAAGCCACCCACATGTCCAGGACCTACCGTGAGCCCGGTGAACCATGTTCCAGGATCAGAAGATTTCGAATGGGAAGCCGAGATGGTGCCATCACAAGGCCAAGCTGCATCAACGGTGCCAAATTCTTCCCAATCGATGTCTGCTGTGATGATGAATGTCAGAGTTCCCAACAATCAGCCTCCTCCAATGCCAGTGAGACAGCCCATGCCGCATGTGTCAATGACACCAAGTGCCCGACCACCAGCTGCAATGATGGGAAGCCCAGGATCGTCCTACGCAGCTTCCGAGATTGGAAGCCAATTGATGGTGACTCAAGCATCCCTCGAAAGCTGGGGAAACAAGATCGTGGGCTTTGGCAAAAAGCATCTGAGGTCTCGTTACGCCCATGTGTACGAGTCCGACCCAGGTTACATCAAGTGGATTCTGGCCAGAGCCGACAACCTTTCCGAGGATGTGGCAGATTTCGCAAGCTATGCTCGAGCTCGCAATCAACTGGAGCAATTGGCCAACAACCCGGTTCCATGAGAGGCAATTGGGAGGAATTTCAAGATTCTAGGATGTCACATAAATCTAGCTTCAAAGAAAGACAACTGTGGAATGAAATGCAACAGCCTGACTCAGAAAGTAGTTCTCACAAGTCAGAACAGTTGGACATCCTAGAAGTGTATGCGTTCCCGAACAGCATGTTGACCACCGTGGCGCAAGAACATGGTTTGCGAGCAAGGAGGTTTACATATGAGGATGGGGATTTATCAACACCTACTGGAAGAAGAGCTTTATTTCACATCATCAAGACACAGAGACCAAAACATATTTGGCTTGCACCGGAATGTGGTCCTTGGTGTGCCTGGAACCGTTTTAACTCCATGCGAAGCCTATCAAGTTTTGAACAAGTCATGCACCAACAACGTCTTGCCAAAGAACACCTGGTGTTGTGTAATGTGGTAGCTCAGATTCAGCATGATGAAGGTAGACACACCCATCTCGAAAGTCCCAAAACCTCCGGCGTTTGGAAGCAGCAGGAGATACAGCCGTTTTTGAAGCGTTCCATTCCGGCCCAGCTGGACCAATGTGCTTTTGGCCTGAGACATCCGAGTGAAAATCAGTTGATGAGAAAATCCACTCGCATACAAACCACCTCAGTTGAGATGTTTTCCGTTTTGGACTGCCGTGTTTGCAATCGTGAACATAGTCATAGTACCATAGCAGGAAGATGTCAGTGGAAGGGTCATAGCATTTCCGTGTCCAGGTTTGCTGCTTTCTATCCACGCAAGCTTGCGCTGACCATTGTCCGTGGAATCATGCAAACATCCCAAGGCCCCTATGAGGCGCCAATTTGCCATGTAGATGAAATAGAGCCACCTGCCAAAAGGGCATCTACAGAGAAAACTTCCCAAATCAGGTGTTGTCACTTGGGAAGACCCGCAAGATGAAGTCTTCCAGGAAATTCAGAAACTGTTTCCACATGAGAACATTGGTGCAGTCAAAGCAGGAAAAGGCCTAGATCGTCTTTTGTTGGGCGAAGAGGCTGGGAGAGATCAGCTGCCGAAAAGACATAGCATAGTACAGAAAAGATTCACTCATGAAATAATTGACCTAGGACTTGAAGTTTGGAGTGAATTAACTCGGAAAAGGGCTTGTCGAAAAGAGGTGCCAAGCCATATCATGTTGTGTTTGTTTTCCAGAGATGACAGCCGACCTGATACACCTATAATGCCAGCAGCCGATCCCGCCAATGGATCAATTGAGACAAAAGCCGCTGAATCAACAGCCAGTCCACCAGTGCAGGTAGATGTGCCCAGCTGGACTCCTTTAAGTGCCACTGTTTCAGGCCCAAATTTCCTGAAACTTACTCGAGAGCAACAGTCCATGTTGCGCAAGATTCATAATAATCTAGGACACCCCACAGCCGAAAGACTGGCCCGACATCTAAAGGAATCCAAAGCACATGAACACCTGGTGGAAGGTGCTGCCGACTTTGTGTGTCCGTCATGCGCTGAGAGACACCCACCACAAAAGACTACTCCCGGCCAACTCAAAGACCCGAAGGATTTTAATGAAAGAATTCTTTTGGATGGTTTTGACTGGTGTAGTAAAAGGGGTATTCAAATCTATGTGTTCCATATCCTAGATGATGCTACCCGTTTCCATTTAGGTCAAAGGATAACCCGGGATACCCAAGCCTCCATCCGTACAACGAAACAGATGTGGATTCAATGGGCAGGATCCCCACAGGAAATACTACATGATCAAGGTGGAGAGTTTGTATCCCAGCCATGGAAAG